ATTAGCAAAAGTTCGTCGTATGGAGAGTCTTCTTCTGAAAATGATCGTCTGGAAAGTATTAGGGTGTACGCGTCCCTAACACGAGCCAGAGAATCTACCGTCGAACGTTCAGTTCGTCTTGCAGAACAAAATGCAAGATCGTCGCAGCTATACGAACAACAGTTAAGCGCCGATCGCTCGCAGTGACTTGACGGAAATAGAGCTAGGAATTCGCGAACGCGTGCACGGGACTCTAACACTGAACGCTCGCAGCGGCTCCTGACACAGCGTGATAGACAACGGTCGTTAACAGCTAGGACGCGCAATACTTTTTTTTTCTAATTTAGTGATTCAAGGTCGTTTTAATTATCATTATTATAATTTAAATATCTGTATACCTTTATATATGTCTACCCGTGCGAAGCCGGGACGGGCCGCTAGTATATTATATTCGTACTAAATACCACGAGACCAACTAAGTTCGCTCCTTTAAGTAATTATAATAAAAAATGATAGCTACGTACCCACTTACGTTCGAAATGTCTCTCCCTTGTAAAGTAACAAAAACTACAGCAGAATAATCAGACGAAACGCAATATAAAATAAGAGAAAGAATCACATCAAAACTGGCTCTCGAAAAAATGACAAAACGGACTCACTCCAAACACGGCCACTCGGGAAAATTGGAAGAAAATTAAAAAGTAATAAAAATACAAATGAGCTGCTTTCAATCATCCCCCTGACAAGTGGTGAGAGGGGAGGGGGGATGTCACATGAGATTAAAAAGTTTGACGAGCTCTCCCACGGAAATTAGCATTTCCCTCCCGGTACTACATTTGCATACTGGCTCATCTCATTTTTATAATTTAAATATAGAGAATATTTTTAAATGAATCAATTTAAAATCAGATCTGTAGTGTCCGCCAGTAGTACACATCTAAATACCTAAAGCACTTTAAACGGTTTAAAATATAATTATTTTTAAGTTTGTTAATTTGTTTTTTATTATAACTACGCTCCAACGTTTTCGATGCGGTGGTCCAGGAGGAATGAAGATGGAGGGTATCCCTAATGTCAAAGACTGCTATGCTAGCGCCATCTGTTTCTTCGTACTTCGTAGTTGGTATTTAGTGATCCTTGGGTTGCAAAATTGAGATTTTTTTATCATAGGTAAAATAATGTTATTTCGTCAACTGCCTTTTCTTCATACTCAAATATAATATAACTCATAGCTATTATGTTTAAGGGGGGGTAAAACTTTATACGCAGGTTGTTTTAAATACATAATATATAAATAATATCTACATTAATGATGATTGATATTATGATAATTAATGCTATGACTGTACTTAAAGTGATCGGAAGTGATGGCGGAAAACAGGCGAACAATCTGCCTCTTCCTACAGCACTATATGATGATCACGGCCTCTCTGCAAAGAGAGACTAGGTACTGAGTAGAAGGCACAAACACTTATGTCTCGTTGATATGGTTTTAAATTAATTGTATTTACAATATATACAAGTCCCAAGAAAAAAAATTTTTATTAAAAAACAACGGAAAAGTTTGCAATTTTTATTAAAACTATCGACAGACATGTTGTATTTTACTGAAATTTAAAGACTTCCTTTTAGAAAAATGTACGCAAAGTAGAGAGGCGAAGTTTTAAAATTCTAGCTAAAACCACTCCAACCGCAAGCAAAAAGCCCGCGGCAGCTGTCACTTAATAATTTAATTGTGCATTTCCCTCCCTTTTTCACGGCTCTTTCGCGGTAAAACTCTGCCGGCCATCGCGCGCAGTATGAAAATATTCCACTCTTTCTACGCTCTTTTATTTTATGTTTCATTTTGTCTTATCAATCAGTAGATGCCAGAATATTCAGTAAAATTGCTTATGACATACAGTTCGTAGAAAAATCGTAGTTTTGGAATTCTAGTTATCGTTACTACGTTTACTATACAAATCAACCAATGTAGTGTAACGAAAAAGTTAAACTCTGATAGTAATTTAATAATAGTACATTATGATATAAGTAAGTTGAAAATTACAGCCGAAGCGATATTACTATTTTGGCTGTAATTTTCAAAGCGCACGTAGGTATGTCATACGACGTTTTATAACATATTTGCGAGGAAATTAATGAAACTCTAACTTAGTTAAACGAATAAATCTTTAATAATTTTGTTAAAGCGATGCGCGCGCATCGACGTTTTTTTAGGCAAAGGTACAAAAACAGCAAGCATTAGTAATAAAGTAAATTAATATTTTTGTGTTTTTGTTATAGATAAATGGTTGTAATTTATTGTCAAAATTAATTAAATTAAAGAATTAAATGTTTATTTGTTATATTTTATTTCCCAAAGCTAATTTTATTCATAAAATATTGACCACTTTCTTGACGTAAAACCTCTATGCTAAAATTTTTAAAAGTATCGTTCATTTTTAGACGGAGTATCTTAAAACTTTATTAAAAAAACACGTGCCTTACATTATCGCACAGGTACGTAATGAGATACATTACGATATTGAAATTGGTGTAAGTAATTACAACCACTTTACGAGCAAATATGTTATAAACAAATATATATGTAATTTTAAAACAAGAGGTAAAACTGTCAGAATGAATATGGTTAAAAGATCTCATTCATTCTGAGACTTTTAATGTTCAATTATTCGATTGTTCAAAAAAGTTTAATAGGCGGGCTTCGTACCTACTTACTATCTAGAGATATACACGACGCAATATGTAGATCAGGTATGTTAGACTGTGTTAAAATAAAAACTATAAACATAGACATTTTAACACTTAAACAAACAAATGAATGCATAAAACATTTATCAGGCGTGTTAGTTTCAAAAGCCAAGGCCTGAAAATATTCTTATTTTCTCGAAAAACTTATATCAATGATGGGTAGAAATATAAAGTATCATTTGAATTTAGTCAAAAATATTTAAATAAGAGCTAAAATATTTTATTAATAATAAGCATGAATAAAAATATAAACTTACTGTGTCGGTATAAAAGCTAGGTGTAGGCTGGAAATTAAAAAACTTTTTACGCACGGCACAATGCTTCTCCCCTAAAGCTGGTTACACACTGTCTCCGATCCAAAACTTGAGTGAATCCGCCCAGTGGATGTGGGCGGAAACCCGATTGGGCGTGGTCAGTAAATCTAACCCAATCATAGCCATCGCAATACTTCTTTTTGCAGCTAGTCAAGATTGTCAAGAAGCAGAGTGGTCATCCGAGATTAACGGTATACTAGAATTTGTCCCAGTCCTTAAGCCAATATGATATGATTTCTTTGTGTATCTAAATAGATAGAGTACGATGTTTCGCCAGCGGCTATCTTCTCATAAAATAAAAAGAGTGAGCTCTCTTCCCATTCACTAGGCGAAGGGCAGACAAGCAGGCTTTTGTCTTGTATCTGTCTTCGTTTCCTGATCGACTTCGTCCGAGATTTTGGTTCCCTGATCCACCACTTTCCGATATCTACTCAGTACCTCGCTAGAAATATTTAGCAATATTACAAACAATGAATTGTATGAAATTATAAGTTTTAGTATCTAATATAATAATAATAAAATAATAGAATTTTATGATATCATATGTATTACAACGTTATTAAAGTCTTAGTTCGAACCAAACCAAACTTTATCTTTAAAAGAGAAGTATGGGCCTACGTTTTTAATAATTTAATAAATATGTGTAGAAAAGTTTACCAAGAATTTTATCGATAAGGAGGTATCTAATTTTGCTCTTTACTGATGTTAGGTTTTAAATTTTAAGCTCTCTAATTTTATCTTTTTCCCAAAAGCGTACATATATGTTTATATATTATTTGAGCTATTTTTTATTAGATACATAAGTCAATACCTTTGACAGCAATTCCTTGTAATATGTTTTTAAAATATAAGTCTAAACTATCCTTTGCTTTGCCTTACGTATGCTATATAAAATCTACAGTAAGAATCAACAGTAAGAAAACAGTTGCATAGAAAGATATCTAAGAATCTGGAGCGTAGGACATTCACTCTTAAATAGCTATTTATTAAAAAAAATGAAATACGTCGTTCATAGCGCAGCTACGTCCTTATTTATTATTTCAATAAAAAAAAATTCTTACAAAAATATATTTACGATATCAGGTTACGATCAACTGAATCGTTTAATTCTAACCAAATTAGTATTGTTTTTCATAGAGCCATCTATTGAGCTGTATTGTAAAATATTTTATTTGACAAACTGATGCACCCAATTCCCGCTCATTGCGTCACTGTCTGTTCCTACTCATGCGTTGTAGAGGGGACGCGACAGCTTCGATCAATAGTTACACAGCCTAGTTAACACATTCGTAGAGGGCGACACACAACGAGTTTTCGCCAATCGAAAACTTTATTCACTACTGTCAACGATTTTATAAATGTTTAAGCAAATATTTAATACTAATACAAGTTACATTATCTTAAATAACATAATATAGGAAAACTTAAGTCAGTAACATAAATAATAATTGACTAAATGAATAGCATCGTGATTGGCGTCGCGCGCATGACATTCAACTTTCCCGCGACTTCAGTGACGCGGTCAACGAATCGTTTAATTTCGGACCGACTCGTTGAAGCTGCAATATTACAGTTAGACACCGCCATCTTGTGATCAACTTGTCAAGTATGAACGAATTTAATGTAGAAAATTTGTGTTTCTGTTTTGTGATGTGAAATATTATTGAAATCGTAGTGTACTTCATAGGTAAGCTCAAGAAAATAAACGTTTAAATAAAGTGGCGCAAAATTTGATTGCAAGATAAAGTTGCGATACGAAATTCAGTGAATCTTTGTATTTCCCTGTTAACAATGTTAATTTTAAACCCGTGGCATCAAAAGCGATCGATACGATGCTCCAGAATAGAAAACGTATTTATTTCTAACTGTTTATTCTGTCCAACGGAATTTGAAACTTATTCTTTCTTTGTCTTTTCTAGCACACCGATTCCTGTAATGTAAAACTAAGACGTAAAAATGAGTGACATCAAGCAAGTGAAAGTGGATAACTGGGGAATATATTTCCTTCAGAGGTTAAAGCATTTTTTCAATCGCACCGATTATTGCGATCTGACTCTGCAATTTCAAGACAATGCCCAGCTTAAAGTGCACAGATTAGTTCTTAATTCATGCACAGAATATTTTGAATTACTAGAGAGAACATGTGAAATGTATTCAGATTGTCTGATCATGCCCGATGACCTGCAGGCCGATGTGGTTGTACCAATAGTGAATTTCATGTATACAGGACAGCTTGAGTTTAAAATGGATTTACTAGAAAAGCTTTATCAAACTTCATTACTCATGAGTATGCCTATTTTAACAAAGCTTCTTGATGCACATCGAACTAAACCAGTTTTGTTCGGTAGGCGATACAGTAGAAGCAATGAAGAGAAGCTTGCTCCTTCACCATCAATTAGTAATATACCTAAGAAGCGAACTTTTACAAAGGCATTTCAAAATGAGCAGTTGCCTTCTATAAAAAAGAAACACAGTGTAAACACTGACAATACCACATACAGTAATGGCCTTTACAATACAGATTCTACACCAAAACCGCCTGAAAAGTTACATAAAAAGTACCTAGATACAGATCCCAAACCAACTCGATATGAGTTACCAGCTGAATTAGATGATGACAATGTTTTTGAAAATTCATTTACAAGTTTGTCTTATGAATCTAAACCATTAATGGTACATCCAGAAACAACAAAATATTATACCCCCCGTAAAAGCAGAATATTTGATGAACCTTCCAGTTCTAAGGGGTTTTTAAAGGATGTAGAGTGTAGAAAAATAACACAGAGTGATATTTTCGATGATGTGCCTGATGGTGATGTAAAAGTTCTGGTTAACAGAGCTAGTGAAGACAAAAAAGATACAAACCAACTTTTTGATCAAATTTTAACTAGAGAAAAAAAGATATCAATTGAAAAAAAAGAGAATAAAGACAGCAATTTAGATCATGCAAAAATAATAAGTGAAGTACTTAAAAAATATCCACATTTGGTGAAAAGTAACAAGAATATAAAACTCAAAATATTAAATAATTCCAGCAGGAAAAAAGTAGAACCAAAATCAGTGAAGCCCAAAATGGAAATTCCAGAATACACTTATGAATCTGATGTAGTAGATTCCCAAGAAGCAGCACGTCTTATAGCTTTAGGTGCAGAAAATGTGAAGGGTCCTTGGATATGCTTAATATGTGGAACTCCTGGCAGAGCTTTACACTTTACGAGCTATTATAATTATCGTCGTCACCTTGTTGACATTCACAATGAAAAGCCAGTATCAACAATTTGCGAATATTGTGGATTAAAATCATTAAAAAGAAATTATTTAGTGCATCATTTATATACGAAGCACGGCGTAGATCCACCACGTGCTTTTAATTTTCCGAAATGTAATGCCTGTGACTATGTTGCATTATCAGAAGCTCTATTGATAAAGCACAAATTATCTCATGGTGACAATAGTCGCAATTTCCGTTGTACTGTTTGTGCCGCTACTTTCCATTCATCTAATTTTCTCTTGCAGCATATACAAAAATCTGGTCATAAATTTACTGGAGATAAGAAACCAAGCCCACAATGCATCTATTGTTTCAAAGTATTTGCTCGCGATCCCACACTTTATGTTCATTTAAAAACCTGTCATTACGAATTAGCAAAAAGAGATGGAGTTATAGAGGACTCAGATGATGAGAGAGATAGTAAGATAGCTTTAGATAAAAAAGAAATACCTCAAAAATACATGGCGGTTGATGCACCAATTTCATACGAGAGCCAATTTGAAGAAACTTCTTACCAATTTGAGCGACGCTCGGATGGCAAAATAGAAATTATGCCAAATAAACCAGCAACAGTTCTAAGGAAGAAAATTTTAAATGCTGACTTAAATAAATCCCAACCTTCAAATTCTACGCAGAAGGTTATATTGCAAGATTTGGTCAAGTCTGAATTTGTGGAAACTACGGAATTAATAAAAAAAGATGACAATAATATTGTTTTAATAGACAACAAAGAATATATATTAACCGATACTTATGAAACTGAAAATGAAGAAATGCTACCCAAACTTACTACAAAATCTGACTATTCTGATATTCAACATAATGTTAGTACTGAGCCTCCTAAAGTTACAATTGCCAAGTCTAACTCGATCAACCAACCTATACAAATTGTTGTCTCAAATGAAGAAGAATACAAAGCCTTACTGTCGTCGCAACATTCAATAATTTTTGAGGATGGTGCCTCTGAAAAAGCACTGGCTGTGTTAACAGCAGCAAACACTTCTAATGTTGGAGATACAATAAATTTGGATACTGCACAACCAAATGATATGATGATTCTGCCTCAAAATTACCCATTAAATATCACAGAAGCCAACACTACAGATAGTTCAAACATTGTAGTTGTTTATAGTCATCCGGTTAATGAAGCTAATAAACATTATCAATTAATAACATCTTCTGGCATTGAAGGGCAGTTTGTACAATCTTCAGCAATTTTTACACAAAACTTTGAAACTGTGGCAACAGCAAGCCATGTAGCAATTAATAATAATGCAGTTAATAATTCCTGGCCGGAGAATATACCAATTGTTACAGCAGGAATGCAGGTTATTACATCTGATAGTCATCAAGACATGCCTCAAATAGAAATCACCCAAGCAGCTGTACAAAATACAATTTCTAAAGAACTTTCTAATGTACAGGAATCTGTCATAAACAATGAAGTGAACATACAAACTATATCTCAGAATACATCCAGCACAAATATTCAAACTACACCTCTTATTACTGAAATACCAACAAATATACCAAACAATAATGTCCTTCAAGTAGAAGAAACTATAGAAGATCAAAGTAAAGTTGTTATGGACACACAAACTAATGTTGTTATAGATACACAAACTAATAATGTTATAGAAACAACAGTTGATATAGAACCAAATTCAGATGCTTCTTTAGAACAACATGTTACGCAAGAGCAATCTGACTATAAAACGGATGAAATCGGGGAATCTGTTCAAACAACAGAGAATATATTATATCATCAAGTTGATACTGAATTAAAACAAGAACCCCTTACTGTATTTGAACAGCAACAAGTGAAGGAATTAAAAGACCCCTCAGAAAATACAACAAGTAACCTACAAAAAAGCACCTTGGATGAAAACGCAATAACACAATCAAGTCATCAATCTCCAGAACAACAACTCGATGAGAGTTCTACAGAACGGCAAATAGAAAACATTGTTGAGCAACAAATTACTGACGTTATAGTCGATCATCACGAGTGTGAAGAATCCCTTGGTGCAATCATTGTTTCAGATAGTAATCTTATATCTATTGCACAACAGAAACAAGATACCATGCATGATAATATGCCTTGTGATGATATACAATTGCACGAAATTGACCCGAAAGTTGTGCAAGAAAATGCAAATGGGGTAGCTAATATGCAAGTTGACCAAGGTTTTGTAAAACAACAGCCAGATGTTGAACTTGCTGTAGAAGAAATTAAAACTGACGACGAGGAAACCATTGAAAATATAGCCAAGGAAATAAGCATTGTCCCAACGATTTTGCAGGAACAAATTGAAAAGAAAAATATTGATAAAAACCCTGTTGTAAAAGAAATAGCAACTTTAGCATCTGAATGGTCAGAAGATGAGACTGAGATGGAAAAACCGGATGAAATGCTATCACAAGATGAAGCTGAAGAAGGAAATCCTAAAGAAACAGAGGGCCAAAACCCTGACCTATTGCAAAATGAAACAGAAGAACACCTACTTAAACTAACGCAAGATGAAACCGGGGAAAAAACCCCTGAACAATTGCAAGATGAAACAGAGGAACCAAAACCTAAACTATTACAAGGTGACACAAAGAGTAAAGAACATGAATTATCGCAAGATGAAACAAAAGGCATACATTCAACACATGAACTACAAGACAAGTCTGTGTCATCTGATATTCAAAAAAATCCAGGTAAGGAAGTAGAAAACATCAAAATGAGAATGAAAGAAATTTCTTCTCTTCTTAATGATTGGGAAGATAATGACACACAAGAGGAAACTGAAACTATAACATCAATCCCCACAGGAGTAATCCAAAACACAACAGTTGCAAGCACTGAAATCTTGACTTTTGACAAAACTACAAAAGATGAAATGCAGCAGAACAGTAAGCCTTGCTTGGAAGAGAAAAATATAAGAAATTTGGTCAGTGACTGGGATGAAGACGATGAAGAAGAAAATAAGGTTTAAAATTATTTTCGATATTTAAGTAATTAAATTAGTTAAGCATGCAATTTTCTTTAGGGTAACCACAACTGTATAATGTTACTACTGATCTTAATATGGTTAAAAGTATATTACACTGGTCATGTTGTAAATAGATTAAGTAACACATACTGTTCGATCCCTTGATGGTCACATTGTTTTTTACATTTGGTAATCAGTATTGTAACCGATACAGAGGGTAAGTAAAAAAAATCTGATAAATAGGCTCTCAATTACAACTAAAGAGAAATTAGGCATATACTGCAATAATTTCACCTAGATATAATAGGCCACAAGTTCTTACACACTGAAAGTGAAGTTAAAGATCCTTGTGACAAACCAATCTTAAGCAGAAAAGAGTGACAACATATGTAGTTGACTCAATATAAAAAATGTTGATGTACACAGTATGTAATATAAAATTAACCTTTTACTACAAATCGTAGTTAAACCACCATTATCTTTTTCTGATATCTTGTAGTTGTATTGTATTTAAATTCAATTATAAAGATCAGTTAGTATAAGGGGTCCTATATATATTATTAGATTAGTGATAATTGTTTCAGGATAATCATTGAAATTATATCATTTACTAGGAGTAAATAGTAAAATCAGGTTTAAATCTCTTTTCAAATCAACTATACAAATAGTTATGTGGCCTAGAATAGATATTTTAAATCTATCACTTTACTTTGATCACACATATTGTTAGGACTTATAACAAATAAAGTGATTATTTTGTAAAAAAAAACTAGTTTCAATTAATATTTCAGCATTGGAATTAAACAGCAAACACAAAAATGCAAAAATACCTTTTAATATTCCACAATTTTTACATAAAGTGAAAATTACTAATAAGTTGGAACAGCAATATTCAATCATGCATATCATAATAATTATTACAGTCACCGTAAAGTATTAATGATACAAGTGGCAATCGTTGTAAGATATTGTCTATTACAAAATAATATACTTAGTAATTTAATTAATAGACTACACAACTAAAGAGTTATTCATTAAAATAAAAGTAACTGAACATAAATGTGTTTCCATCTATACCATAACTTATGTGTATCACAGTATTATTACAATCAGGTAATTTATATGGGTGTACAACTAAAATGCCAATCACATACATTAAAGCAACTAAATTATTTTATCTAAAGTACCTATTTCAATACAATTTAATGTAAAAAACTATGAGTACTAAACCAAAATTTAATACCTGTACTTAAATTTCTAGTACCCAATGTATTTTTATGTAAGACACTAGAACTTCTAAGTGCTAAAGTGAAAAATTTTGCCATGCTATATTATCCCAACCCGCATTGCACAAATGCTAAGTTATTTCACAATAAATAATATTTACACTAAAGTAAAGCAATGTTATTGCTTAGTCATTAGAAATGGACACGAGAACATGTTTCACCATGAAAGCGAGAAACACAAAGCTGACAAGCACAAATAGGTTTGTTAGGATGTAATGCATATTAGACTGTTGTTCATTAGTCACTTCACTTTCACTGTTATCATTAACACTTTCTGACTGCAACAAAGCCTCCTGTCTTTGCTTCAATAACTCTTCAATTTCCTCTACATATTCTGGAAACAATTCACAGAACATTTTGTTTTTGAGATTGATTTCCAGAGATTCAGCAGCTAAACAACGTTTTTGGTATTCTGATGTCTCAATTGAACCCAATGTCGGCGTCTTCTCTAACATAAAACTAAGCAGACCTGTTAGAATTGTTGAGATAGACCAAGCCGGATTCCAAGTGTCCGGATGAAAATCTGTGATACTAAGACAAAGTTTTGTGTTTGTCTTGAATCGTCCATTTGGCGTAATCATATATATCGATGGTGGTTTAAAGGGAAACTCTCTGGGAAACATAATTTTACCGTGATAATATCCCCCCTCATAAGGACTCTTTTCCGGCCCTTTAACGACGTAATGCCATTCTAATATATTTGAAGGCACTGGTTCTGCAGTCACATATGGTACAGGATCGTTTTTGAGTCTTAGGTAATCTTGTTTCAATCTACTCGTCGCTCCAGTAACTTTAGTTTTGGCCATTATTTTACTTTACCAAACATCAATATGCGAAATTTTGCCGTACTATTAATATTTGCCTGATAATTATAATGTTTATCAGTTATTAAGTTAATATAACACCCGAAACTTAGTTTGCAATTGAAAAACTAATTCCTGTGTATAACTTATTAAATCCGAAATCTAAAACGTCAAACTTCAAAAATGACAACGTCACATTATGCACTATTGTATATAAACTACGTGTTTCTTTATTTATAATAATTGGTTGATCTTTATACCACAATCATAGACTAAAAACTTTAACAGACATTATTTTATAGTTTGATTTCAATGTATTTATTGCGCTTTTTGGAATAAATACGTAACAACTAAATACATTTAAGTGTTTGATTATTTACATGAGTGTATATATTGTAAAAAATAAAATAAAACTTTTTATCTAGAAAGTTTATTATAATTCTATTATCCAGTATATTATTTTAATTGTTTAATGAGATTAAGAAACAATAATTGCGCATTAATATTGCAATGATTCGTTTGTTTGTAGAAATTTCAACTATTATTTGAAAACATTTTTCTCAGTACTAAGCGTTAGATTTATTTTGTCTTTATCAATTAAAAACTTATCCAGCCACGTTGTGCACTTATTTGGGATGGGAATTAACATTCTCTACTTGATCCAAAATTCGTTAAGACTTAGTTCTGAAGTGGTAAACTTTTAAAGTAATATTAATTGTCATTGTGTGTACGATAACTTGATTGATGGATATTGTTTTTTACCACGAGATGGGTAGTGCGTGATAAGTAAAGCTATGTGTGTGAAATTATTTTCTTCCCATTGTCACAGTGAAACAGTATAACAAAATTAAATACATATATGTACGATTGAATTACAGTTTAGTTTAACGATGCAAAAAATCGATATATTTAACTGTATACCTCTTTGTCTCGCAGCATAGGGTATATATAGGGTATTCTAAGTAGACAAAAGTAGGTTTATACACAATTTCTATTCACATCGTGAAAAATTTTTCAAACCTATTTTTATCAGTTGACAATAAATTAAAATACGTATATGAATCTTTTTAACTTATTGCGCTTAGTGTTTGAAGAAACAAGATAAAGCAAAATGTATTTACAAACAATAAATATTCGAGAAAATCTCACCGGACACAGGTGTTTTTCATTGTTATTAGTCAATTTATATTTTATAGACGAGATCGCGCTAAACAAATTTAGAACAGAGCCACTAGAACTTAGGAACAACTAACTTCTTTATATCAATTAGCACAGTTAACAAGCATATTCTTTATTTCAATGTTGAGTTGTCTTAGTTGTGTCTCGTCCGGCTCATCACGTTGCACAAGCTGTTCCCGCTGAGACATTAGCTCGTTCAGTTTAGAGTTAACAGAGCTGATCGGTGCTTTGCTGAAAAAAGCAATTTTGATTTAAGTTACAAATTGTATACCTCGGCTACCCATCACATTCTAACGTCTTTTACCGGAATAAAAAAAATGGTTAAGCCATTTATGGTGTAAAAAAGGAATATTTAAGCTATATCCGATGGGGCGACGTTTGCAATTTAGTAATTTTCTCCCATTTCCCAAATTTCTCATCACTGTTTCTGCGTCCCTGTTTGTCACTGTGAGATTTTTTTCTTTAAACAATTAAAACGACGATAGCCACTTACATTAATTGGATAGAAGTACACAATAGAATTACACTTAAAAATAAAGTATGCATCAATCACATTAGGATAAAATTTAAAAATCAGATAATTCTCTCAGATGACGATTGATCTGCGAAAAGGTCACATTTGGGTCTTAACTTGAGGAGAGCGTTGAGTGAGGTTAAAATTCGTGGTATCGGCGAAAACGCGCGAGCAGAGGTGATCGTGTCTTCTAGCGCGGCCATAGTTGTTCGGTACAAACAGTCGACATAAGGATCATCGATTTGGTTTCAAATCAACTTACAAGGTACAACTAATTACCCACGAGATCTGCGACTTCCAAGACAATTAAAACCAAGCTGTCCTAATAAAAACAAGGTCGGATACAAGTAGGGGTAAAAACCGTATTGGTGTTTGTAAAGAAACCGCAGGAAGGCTTTTTGGATCTTCTCAAGCATGAGTATATATTTTTCCTCGTGAGGGTTTCACGCGAATGAACTCGATTCCATCTTGCTGCGGACAAGACACATAGGTATATACAAGGCATATCGCATGCCTATTGCGAAAGTCGCGAACATTGCGCAGGACAAATCCAAGGCGTCGAAATGATTCCTTGGTCAGTTCGACTATATGATCGCGAAAGGTCAATTCGCTATCAAATGTAACGCCCAAATCATTAACGAGGGATTTCCTTGCTATCGACGAACCATTAATTTGATAATCTGGATGAAATCTTCGACTAAAAGAGATGTGTTATAGCTAAGGATTAGAAGTAGGTCAGAAGAAATTGTAGATTTTTAAGGGCTTATATAGGCGCCACAATGTATGGCCATGAAAACACCGGCAAATATTTAGCATATATCATTAGCCTTCTCTATTTGAGCGGGACTGCCAAGCGGGTTTTAAATCAGATCCGGATTTTTTAGATTAGCGCGAAATCTCCTACAATCGCGTATAATTATAAAAATGAAATACTAACAGGTAGTCATCATACACTTCTAAGCCATCCAAACCAGATGTACCTAAAACAGACATAATGGTTAACACATTTAATATATATAAATATATATGTTCTTGGCAAACGTATAATTTACCTCTTACCAAATATTAAATAACCTCGTTAGTCCAATGCGGAATTTTTCTCTATTTATGGATAAGTGAGATCACAGTCACAGAAATTTTGATGGAGAACATTTTTTTATTTAAACAGGAGATATTTATTACTTACTTAGAAGCGATCGCGTTTCAATTGCTGGTGAATGACCGAGGATATCTATGTATAAATCATCTTTAAACTTCTTTAGATCTGCATCCTCATTTCGGTTATCAGCTAAACTTTCTTCTTGGTCTTCTATCGGATCAAGACTGAAACATTATTTCATTGTGTTTAAGTAACAATGACAAACAGAACAGTAATAGTACTGAATTTGTTTTGAGCGTACTTTGATCAGTGTGCAACTTAATCGATTCTTCAAAAAAATACACCACTTTTGTTTTATTATTAATATAATACTTATATAATATCTTGGTGTCATATTATTAATAAATATAATTATGTATAATAATATACTTAAGTTAAATACTAGTTCACCCACTTTGAAAATTGGTGTAATACAATATTTTGCATATATTACAACTATTAATTTTAATAACAATATTTATTAACAATTTTCGACTGAGCATTCGCCAACGTCCATACCACGTTGAATACACCGGTTCTCGTCCGATCACCGAAGTTAAGCAACGTCGGGCGCGGTCAGTACTTGGATGGGTGACCGCCTGGGAACACCGCGTGATGTTGGCTTTTTTGCTTCTTTTAAATATTTACCGCAAACATACTTACACCGTGCTATTTCAAAATTAAAAAATATCTTTACTTTGTTTTCACATTATTCTTACCCAGCACCTTCCAGTTTTCGCCTTTCACTTCGTAAATGCGCCAGCATCTGTCTACGAGTTGATAGCTTGACTAGATGAAGCTCGCGGACTGCACGACCCCATTGCTCCTTGAAAAACGCCTTCGATTGCGCCGTACTCTCTAACTTCTCTTCTAGGCACCGCTGTACACATTTAGACAAAACACTTAACGGTTTGAAACGCGAGATATATTAGTAAAACTTATTCTTGATAAAAATAAACCATGAAAAGTTTAACTACCATATTTCGCGTTTTAATCGGTTATAACTTTTGATTCAACATAACACATTATATGCTATGAGTATTGTTTTTAGTATTAATATTTCAGCCATACAACGTATTTTGGCTTTGGATATTAAAAGAGAGACGCGATTTAACTTAACGGCTTTTTCATTTATACAATAACAACATATCAGTTGCAGTACCAATTCTTGTATGAGACTCGCAGTTTGATCTTTAGTTAACCCCGAGTATCGACTCTCTGCTTCTTTTTCAACGTTCTTCATAGCAATCTGTGAATAAGAATATTATCTTAACTAACAAAGCTGTAATGTTAAAAAAAATCTTTTCACAATGCACAAAGTGCTAGTTTTAATTAAGAAAAAAGTTAATTCAGCAAAAAAGCCAACATCACGCGGTGTTCCCAGGCGGTCACCCATCCAAGTACTGACCGCGCCCGACGTTGCTTAACTTCGGTGATCGGACGAGAACCGGTGTATTCAACGTGGTATGGACGTTGGCGAAAGCTTTGCCGAAATTAGCTACAACAATGTACTCTTTGATGTTATTTCAAATTACCAAAAACATTTACCTTCAAACTTTCAACGCTCTTTTCCAAATGATGTATCTTAAGCTGAAGTTCTTCTATAGTCATGTCTTTTAATTTCAGTTGGTGATTCATGTCATCCTCCATTTTTTGGGACGCCTCTCTTAATTCCTGGTACTTTGCAGTATAATGTGCTTCTAGAGCTTTCTTGGCTTCTAACAACTAACAAAGCATAACGTTTAAAATAAAATTGATATATAGATCTACCAACACAACCATACTATACCCAAAGGGAACAGAACCCATGTTTCTCTTGCGAATTTCGTATGAATGCCTTATTGCGGCAGTTAGAACGGTTTAACCTCTACCTTTTTTTCCCTTTGCGTATTTCGATGACCGCGTAAGGAAAAATCTTCAGTGGCTCTGCTCAAATCAGCCGCAAGATGGCGACACTGATCTATACCTCGGCTCAGTTTGGTTTCTAGCTCCACTCTTCTTTTTGCCCACTCCTTGGCTAGTACTTCAAGGTGATAGTCTTCTTTCCGTTTTAACTACAAAAAAGAAAATACTATTTTACATATAAAACATAAGAAGCAGATATTAATCGAAGACACCACATGTACGAGGATTCACAGCGATCTTTACTGGCTATACAATTGAGCTAAGGCGTCGTGTTTAGTTTATTTTAAATTTCTATGGCTATTAATCTAAATGGAGAAATTGTAATTACTTGTATTTTAAAGAGTTCCTGTTGTTTCTCCTTCCAGTCTTCTAACTCATTAACAAATTTTTGCATTATGGTGTCTCGTTCCATAGGCGATAACATATTTACTGGTTCTGAAATAATTAAATAGAAATGTATAACTTCAATGTTATTTTTCTACTTGGGTTGTTGTTGTGATTGAGAAATGCAAGATAATACAAAAAACAAAATGGACACTCTCTTATTAATAATATCATATCTAATTATTTATAGACTATTATAGATAGAAATTATTATAATTTAAACCTTTATACCTTTAGTACTATTAGTAACACAGGTTTCTGGTTTAGTTGGCTCTGTTTTACACGCATTTCTGGAAGTTAATAAAATACAATATAAATAACAAAATAGGGTATAATGTAATAAACAAGCAGGACCAATGCTACACTAAATTAATAATATAATTACAAAAATGTCTATAATTTTAATTGATCAGAAAAAGTGTTACAACTCGTTTAGAAAGAGATACAAACCCATCTTCAGTCCGACCATCAAGTACATCTTCCTCCTTATGTAAATATTCAGTATCCACTTCGCATTGCACCTGCATATCACTTGTGGTTGGTCGCAGTTTAGTAGCCAAAAGTTTCTCTTGGCTAGTAGCGAAGGAATTACACATCTTCTTTATCAAATCCGCTATTTCGTTGGTTGGCAGCATGGCATCACCGGCTGCGTTTGTATATCTGAGAGGATCAAATACAATGTTACTCTACAGATAGTTCATTAATATATAATAATATATTAATAATGTAAATTCTTCTTTTTTTTGGACACCATATACTAAGAGCCTTTTCAAGGACAGAATCAAGCATTATACTATTATAAAAAGAAAGTGTTCAGATTCTCGACAGTGGCATCACAACTAAGGGCAATTAACTTACTACATTAGACTGCGATACTTGTCTCGTGTTATATATAAGTTGTCCAACTAAGGGCAGTTAATTTAAGATATTCTGTCAAGACAGTTTAAGAACGCTTTACTTCCTTGTCAACTAAATCCTAGGGCTGACCTTGCAGTGTTAGATGGCGCAATGCCACTATAAGCGGCACCAACTCCCCCCACTTGCAAATCTGTACAGCTACCAACTCTGCCCATGGTCAAAATCTCTTCAGTCGCCACTAGAACTTTTTCGTTATCTTTCATTTTCAACTGGGTCGCACTTCGGGCTGTTAGTAATGGTTTCTGGAAAAAAAAATTTAGACATACGCAAAATTTCATAGACACGGAACACCAACTGCCGAGTTCAATTCGAGCTTATATTTGTTTAAATGAATTTAAAAGAGTAGATATTTCCTATACCTGTACATTTTGGTTGACCCCTTGATATTTGAGACTCAGTTCGACATCCATATATGGTCGCCTAGACCCATCTTTAGCGACATCATCACAACAAAGTATGAAACACCTCTCGTTGATCGTGAGAGATTTATCGTTATTACAGAAGTTTGTTAGAAAAAGACCTATGTCATCTGTTGGAATCAACTTGCGGAGATCCATGCTGCAAATGCCTAAAAGAAATATAATAATATGAAAAATATACTAGAAGGCCAAACTTAGCCAAACCTGACTAGCGATATTGCGATATAAATTAAATGAATATAAATACAGTATAAGGTTTAAAACCATATTAACTTTTTGTGACAATAGAGGAAGTGAGACAAGTATGGGTTTCTCATGTAATGGAAGGTGACATATTCCAGTAATATAACGTCTCAACTATAAGTTTCCTACGTATTTTGAATATTCCCTTGGATATTCGGGATAAGTAGCAAAGAAATATTGTAGTATTTAGACGGCCTTAGTAGAGGAAGATGCCTACTGTATCATCCTCCACTAATGCATATGCAATATGCACTGTATAACACTTAAAGGATGATGTGTATTTTTAATTAATAATTATCAGATTATTTTGATTTGATGTTTTAAATAATCGCTTAAACTTTTGATAGTTGCATCTCTTAATTAATTGTTCCCAGGTACCAAAATTGTGAATGCAAATTATATACTGAATATTAATTTACGAAGAAGAACATTTTTATACAAACCAATATCCTTCTCGCCGAGACATACTTTAGTGACGAGATGCGGGCATTCTGAGAAATATCTACCCAGCGCTGAGAGATCACTGCGCAGGCGCAACGAAGTCCTTTGATTGAAGTGCACACGGCTTATATTACCGCTTGTTATTGCGCTTACTCTGAAAATAAATTGACTTAAGAAATAAGTTAAATCACGCAGCTCATCACTAATCAATATTTTATTTTAAGTGTGTGTAAAATTTATTACTTGGCTATTCACGTTATATTAAAAAAGAATTTTCCCTCTATTTGAATTCCGCTCTTTTACCTAAAAAGAACAGACAAATTCTTCTTTTGACAATATAGATATTATTGAAGAAGTAATTTCATCAATATTACCGGTTTAAAACGCAATATATATTAGCTAAACTTGTTTACAATAATTTGACCTACGGCCCGACGTTTCGGATGCTTTACAGCGAGACAGTATTTAATTTGATCAAGCTAATTAATTTTTCATCAAAGTAAATATAATCTTACTAATAAAAGCATACATCAAAAGTAAAATAAATTTTACTCTACTTTGATGTATGCTGCATGATTTTTACCTTACAACAACCACTTTCAATTAAACTTACCGATCAGTCATGATGTTATGAGTGAAGACTGTATAGGTGACATAAAAGAAAGCAGTCTCCTTCAATGTATACGGCAGCAACTGAAAAAATATGTTTATTATCATACACAATGTAAATTTCATAGGATATAATTTTAGTTTTTAAAAAATAAGATTTTATCAATATTTCGATAGAAACAAGTGTATAGAAGAGAACCTTTAAACAATGACTAAAATTTTTATACTATTACGAATTTACTTGAGCTGATCACTTACTAAGTCCAAGTTTTCCACGGAACCTATAACTAGGCTAAGTAGAAACATGTGATCGCCATCACCAATCTGTATAAGACCTTCATCACAGATTAACTTCGGCTGCAAGTCAACAGAAGACACTGCTTTCTTACTCTCTGCGATGTATTCCTCTAAAATACAAAGAAGTTCAATTAATCATTTCGCACAGACATAATGTCTATATATTTTAAAACACTAATATTGATTGTATCTATGTACATGTTTTGTTTGTTACTGGTATCAGTAAATCAAGTAATTTAACCAAACTTTACCTGAATATATAAAAATTAAAATAACAAATAATTATGTACCTACATAATAAATTAAGTCATAAGGGTTTTATAAAAGCAGATGATATAAAACCTAATTAAGTAGTTTCACTACAGCAAAGCATAAATAATTGTGTCTTATTTACCTTAACCAAAATTTAATATTGTTAAAACTCACTCTTGCACTTACCAACTTTTAGCAACACAGATTTGGCAGTGGGAGGAATTTTTTCAGTTCTTCTTGAAGGATATGCCACTTCATTACTATGAAACATCCTCAGTTCATTTCTCTGTAAATAAACAAATCTAAAAATAACAACATACACTTTTTTATTTTTTACTCACAACTTTTCTTCAGAATAAAATGGGCAAAAATATTATAAAGTTTTGCTGTACAAGATCTTCCTATACTTTAGGTATAAATGTTTGCTTTATTACAAAACCCACTACTCTGTTATTTAACATATAATTAAGTATACATATAAACATAGTCGATTCCTCATATATAAATATTATAAACATAAAATTTTTCTACTTTCTCTTCATTGTCTTAACATGTTATAACTAGAAAAATAATATAATATAAAACCTACAGGTGTCGGTGTACTGACTCGATCTTCTATAGTCAGGCTCATAAGTAGCTGAGGATGACAGCATTTCCCTTCAGACTTGACACCCAATAATTTGTGCCAGGTATGTTTTACCTAGAACCCAAAAGAAAACTTATATTCAAAAGAAAAAATAACTATTCTGTTTATTTTAGAATATATAAACCAAATAAGAAATCCATGCAACCTTTGCAGCATCATAATTAACAACAAAAATTTGTTTGATATCCAACATCATCAACCATCAATATTTATTTCTTAGATTTCTGAATAATAAGACACCAAAATTTTAACTATAGATAACTGCTAATACTGCTCAAGAAAATGAAATAAAAAACTCACATCAACAAATTTATTTGCAGGACAGGGCTGAGCTCCCAGCAGGCTAAGCAACAGATAGCCAACTTTATCCTTTCTGCCTTGAGAACCGGTTGTATAGACCTCAACTTTTACTGGAACATTCTGCACTCTTAAACTGACATTTTTTAAATTAAAATATAAGCGTATCAAATATTTATAAACAAATGTACGTTATTTAGCCAGCTTTGTTACGTACCTGCGAAATCTTCTTTTATCCGCTTCCCACACTAGTTCAGCATCAAATATAGGCGCATGGGAAGGCACAGCAGGATCAGTCTCCAGCATATAGCCATTTAGGGATCCACTTACAATAAAAGGTGACCGCAAAAAGCCGAACCCGAGAGCTGTAAATTACTTCAAAAGTAAATAAACTGCAATCCATAAGTATTCAACATTTTGAAGTATTATAATTTACCCTCTTTGACGTGCAGTATAATCTGGATAGTAGATCCTCGTAATTCGTCCATTAATAACAATTTTACTGCACTTTTTTGTAAAATTCCCTATAAAAGCACAATTTTTGAAATTTCAAAAACAACGTAAACAAAAACAAAGTTCGACATTTAAAACTAAGTAAAAGTGACAATTGACTTTAGGGACCAATTGGATCATTGCTCTGAATATCGCGCGACCGCGGCTCTTTTTAAAAATTTTGATATATACACCGATAAACGCCTAATATAGAACTATAGTTTTCGCTATACATATGTAATTATATTAGCTTATTTAATAATGTAGTAATTATTCCTTCACTTACATAAAATAATATGTTTCTATCTAAAAATAGGATATAAAATAAGATCTATAATATTATACCGGAACTAACATTTTGTCAAAGCAGACATGTTTTATTTCCTGTCAAAACTAATATTTTTGTTAATATGTAATCGACCAATGAAAACAAACAGTTCTAGTTACATTGGCAATTATTAGTTGTTTTATTTGTCGTATTGCTTTAAGCTTTAAAATTTATTATAATGAAGAAGTTTCTATGTGAGTACAAAGTTCTACGGAGTTGCAAAACCAATGAAAATTCGAACGAATATCAGTAAGTTCAAGCTGTTTTTTGATTACCTACATTACTCGTGATTCCCGGTGTATAGGTGAAGATTAGAATGTTTGACAATGGACTCGGTGCGGTAGCCCCGTGTAGTGTCGACTGAGTTACCGGCGTGGATGAAGTGGTTCAACGGAGCGCGACGAAAAGTAATTCGTACAAAAAGTTTGAATTCAGTTCATTGTGGCTGCCCTGTTCAGTTGATCACTACACTTCTATCTTTAAAGATTGTTCTTTGACCGCACTAACACAATCCGCGTGCTTTGTCACTAGACTAGTTTCAGTAGATTCTAATAAGCCGATGTTAAACGGCATCGCTCGTTCAAGACCGTGTCCATATCGTATTTTTGTGTAATGTTTGGTGAATAGTATTACGTGTTGAGTGTAATTATATCGAACAAGGATTCGAGTGGAAATTGAGGAAATGGGCGTTTTCAAATGGTTGCGTCGGTGAGTGTCTCCAAAAATTATGATTGTTTTGTACCTGTTTTTTAACCTACGACAGAGGTACGTAAGTTTGTGTAGATGTGATAACGTCTCAAATTTAAAATAAATATATAAATAAGAATATCTGTATGTAGTACATTCTTCTTTCAAGTTATAGGTAAAGTGTCTTTAAAGGGCTAAATTAAATATTGAAAGGTTTTATCGACGATTCTAGGGTTATTAAAAAAAGCTTTAATTACACAAATTAATAGATATATTCGCTACGTGATTATTGTATCTAAGGTATAGAAAATATTATTATGTATACGTCGTCGTAGAATCGAAGGTAGATATAAGTTAGGTCTCTGTCTGAGCTTATAACCCGCATTTTATAACAAACGCGGGAGTACATCACTTTGTCAATAATATCTCGAAAGTGCTTTAAATGAGACGAGATGAATTAACTGCTAATAAAGGCATAGCTCTTAAATGAAATTGAACATTATGCCGATATCAAATTAAAATTATCCCTCAGTAGTGCGAGCAAGACTTTATCGTACATAAATTATAACCCATTTTGGTAAGGCATGAATGTGAATATCAAAATGAGCCCTTTGCGGCTTTATTGGCGGTTAGCTTTTGAAAAAGAACGTGTTACACATTTAAGTTATTTTTGCGGATATACGAATTTTATCGATATTCGTTATGTAGTTATTCCATGTTAGAGTAGCAAGCATCTAAAGACCTATCTTTACATCACACATCTATGAACAAACCTTCACATACCCTTACATATTATTAGATAGGTATTTGAAACAGTATTGAAAGATATGTGAGGATGCGTAAACGATTATGAGGAACACCTATATTTTCCGTTGACGAGAATTGTCGAGAAATCGTTATTGACACGAATCATTAATTTGTTATCTCCAAATATTGATTTTCTAATTTATTCTGTTACCCCTTATCAGGTGTAGAGATAGATGTGAACAATAGGAACGTAATATGTATATTTTGTTGTCTTCTAATTTGAATTAAAAGGAATACCTTTACGTAGTTTTGAAATTTTTAAAGTCAAATTCAGTATCAAATCTATGTAAAGCAACATAGAACTCAGATTGATTATTTTAGTCTTAAGACACTAGTAAAACCTAAATCGCTGGTATAATAGTTATGTTTGTGAAAAATAAGTAAGTATAATATAAAAAATTAAGAATTGAAATTTCAAGGATTTAGTTTCAAGTTAAAATATACTTTAAACAATGGGTAATAAGATTGTAATAATTCTGTTCACAGTCTCAAAACACTGACCGCGACGAAGGCGTCTTGTCTCAAAGGCCGAACCCATTCCATCTGTCTTTGACATAAGCCGCCTTTAGCGAACCCAAAATCATTTAACAATGTACGTTAGGCGGAGTTGTAATAAGGTCTATTTCACTTTTGATTAGTTCGTCAAATGTACCTAAATACGAATGATTAGGTGTGTTTTTAATAATATTTGTGTATTAGGTAGGTATATGGATAAATATTAAATGTCTACACTTTTTAAATTTGCAAATAGCGGACTCGAATATAAATAAGCGCGAATAAGATTTTATTGAAACTAAGCATAAAAGGTTTGTTGCTTTTTAAAACAGGGATTTTTTGCATAATAAGTACACAATCAAAATCCCAAATTTCAGTAATATAATACTATAGGTACCTATGATTCGGTACCAAATGGGTAGTAGATATCTAGTAAGTTACCACGCGCTTTGGACTTGCATAATGCCATAATGTCGATAATTTCTTATTGTGCACATCAATAAAGAGATTAGTCTTGATTCATGACCGAGTCCATGTCTAAATAGTCACGACTCGATGGCATCTTATCGAGAGTGTTTTTTTGTACTTAGGTAACCTTACTTTCTGTTGCGTTTACATTTTTTGCTTTTGCCTTTCAAATATTCAGTTTTCCTTAATATCTAATTAGGTCAATTATTAAGGTAATATATCGTTTGGCCGCTTGAAATGTTAACGCGTTGCTTAGCAACACAAGCTAGCATTGGTCTACCCCGGGAACAGTAAAAATTTTGCATTCAAAATTTACTGCAAATAATTCAAATATCTACTGTATGACTGTATTTTTTCACAATTGAGTTTTAACTTACTTTGTGTAGTTTACGCGATTTAAAAATATTTTAACTAGGTTCTACGGCCCGGCTTTTCGTATGCTTTGTAGCAGCCATGGTTACGGGGAGAATATATTTATAAAAAAAAGTTTAACTAATATATTTCACGTTTTAAAGCGTTAAAGTGTTTTATTTAAATGCAGATCATTTACATGTACATAATGTCGTTCAGTGAAACGGGCAGAGAAATGTGTCCAGGGAAGCCAAATTTTACTGTTTTGTACCAAATGTTCTTAAAAGTTTGTTGTTTATATAGATGTAACGTCATAGATCAGAAAGGAGGAACGTCTAACTACTAAAAGCTTATTCGTGTACCAACAGAAATACTGTTGGTTACACTACTAGTATGTTCCAATTCTCTATTGAATTTTTAATAATGTTTTAGAACTAGGTAACTACCTATAGTTACCTAGTTCTAAAACATTCACTTAGTAGGTAGTATTATGTGGTTCATAGTTTCTCTTTTATCAGTATACATATATTTTTTAATTTTTATAAAGCATCACGGTAACACAGGGAATTAAACAAAATATAAATCGTATTCCTTAAAAACAATTTCGACGCCATTATTTAACACTTGCGTTATAATCAAATTAGTGTAAGTAGGTAACGAAGCAGACAATTTGTATGGAAAGGATATTCGGTGAAAGTTAGAAAATAAAATAATTCTAAAACTAAACGTTAGTATACTTATTGCTCGTATGGGTCTTGCTACTTTTTTAAAATTAACGGTAAGAAAGCACTCGCCGCAAGTATATTTATTATAGTAAATGAAGAATTACTTTTTTTTTTCTCGCTTATTATAGGATATGTGAATTTCGATTGATGGCTATAAAAACGTAAAAATTGCACCTAAAGTGTAGGTACATGTAAGTACATATTATAGTAGTCCGGATGGTTTTATTGTATTTAACTGTATTTGGGGTAGGTACGCACAACTTTTCGCAAACCTGGACTTGGTACTGTAGTTATACGCAATCTATACGAGCTTTCGTTTGTGTTACGAAACAGGTAGCTAGGTAGTAGTAATAGTCCTATTAAGAGATTAGATTACAGTGGCTTTAGATAAATTACTCGCTGATAACACGAAAACATCATGAACTTAATCTACACTGCTTATGCAACGTGGCGATAGAAAGCACCGCCCAATTCTAATGTCAGAGATAATCTCGCAAAAGTCCAACCGTCAATTTTAGGTAACGAAGTTCCGAACCGTATCGGCAAAAAGCTGGTGAAAGTCGAATTTAACTATTTCAAACAATAGATAACTCGATTGAAGTTATTAATGCACGTATCAATCACGACTTTTCGAGAACCGAGTGAATAAAACGTGAGATTCGATCGTGATTAGCCAGCATTTCCGACTCGATATTAGATTAGTTGATGTAATAGCTTGGCAGATGGGGTCACTCGTATTTAGAGTCGTAATTATTATAATTCAGCGCTGTTGGTATACTTATTCAAGTTATAAGAAATAAACGACTATACTCTATACCTTAACTCAAAGTACTAAGAAAAAAGTAATTTGCAGAAAACGGTCGCCACGTGACCGCGGCTGCTGCAAAGCATCCGAAACGTCGGGCCGCGAAATATATTAGTTGACTTTTTAATCTATTTTAAGATTAAAAAGTCCACTAATATATTTCGCGTTTTCAACCGTTTAACGCGTTTTATTTAAATGTGCACTACAGAAAATAGTACTAGACCTAGTAGTTTGAAGTATATTTGGCATGCCCTATGATTACAAGTCGGATGCACATAGTAATTTGTCTATAAAAAAAAAACTTATGAAAAGGAAGCCTAAGGTAATAAATGTAACAATTTCCTTTTCTTCTACGAAGTTCGTTTGAAACCGATTTTTGTCCGTGAAAGTATAAGAAGCGGGCTACTTAATTCATCATAACAAAAACGACGAAAAATTAAAACGGCTCTACTAGCCGCTGCGCAGACGCCACTTTTGCGAACTTACACTATCAATTCACTTGCGCTTTCTATTTCAAAAGTATGAATTGATCATCGGATGCCTCGCCGGCGGCGGGACCTAGAAACTACCGTCAAAGAAAATTAACAAAGGCATTTCTGCGCGTGAGACGTGCAGAAGTTGAATATTAAACGAAACTCATTATGTCGCGACAATCATTGCGAAAAATGCACAATAAAACTAGTAAGAGGTAACAATGAGAAATGCGATGTGAAATGGAGGCATTTTAATTGTTCACGCGGCGCTGTGTCTATTATTATCTGTAACGAATATATAAATTACTTCTGTGATTCATTTAAGAATATCTTTATATCGTTACAACAAATTTAACTTTGTGAGCAATTATAAACAATTTCATTTTTCAGTATATTTACTTTCATTGATATTAGAGCGTGGATTTTGGAAACTTAGATTTTTATAATATAAACACCTACTGCACGTGGTTACAGACAGTTTTATTTCTCTTTGTATTTACTATTAAGCAAAGTTAAATATATCCTCTATACAAATTAAACTAGGTTGTTTACAACTTGTTGTACAAGCTTTATAGGAAATTATAACACGAATCGATCCGTAAAACCTCATGCAATAATTGGTTTGCAAATTCAGTAATTTGAACAGGTAAATAAAAACATGTAATACAATCTTTAATTGGATAACGTATAGTAAATTTTATAAGCAATTAGGTTATACAGCTAGGTCTACTAAAAGTCTTATATTATAAAAAAATATGTAAACACAATTATTCTCTGTACCTCCGTTGTTTATCTGTTCCGTTCTTAACTGACTGAATAATGAAAAATTTCGTCGTCGAAAAGTTTAAACTTTTGCTTATTTATTTATATATTATTTATTGCACAAGACATGTTAATATTACAAATTAAACTTATATACTAAAATGAAGAGCAATGGGCGGCCTTATCGCTAACAAGCGATCTCTTCCAGGCAACCTAAAGTTAAGCTTATATCGGTAATTGAATATAGATTGATATGTTTGAAGTAATGTTATTCATCTGCAATTAAAACGCAGCAGTACCGACTCGTCGTGCACAATAGATGGGCTTTATGTATTTGCAATTTTCAACACAAAGCCTATACGACCTCCACGTATTGGATTCGGATCAAAGGGTTTGGTATTTAGTCACGGATGTATTTTAGGCGGAGGCCTAACAAGTGAACAATAGCGAACGATCGCAATAGATCCAATATACCTTAGTTGAGTTAAAAATAAATGACGATTCGCTTCAACTGTATAAAACTCAGTAATTTCCGTTATTCCGTTACAAGTGTAATTAACTTGAAAACTGTGCCGGCCGATGACACGCCGCCGATCACTTGCGGTCGATGTAGATTTTTCGTTTTCCACTGAAGTAGACGTTGACTTATAGCTAAGAAGCTTGTACTTTGATAATTGCCTTGTAACCGTATATACAATAAAAGATCATAATGTAACTGGTGAGTTTAGAGTATGTAAATTGCGATTTTTTATTTATTAAAATTTTAATATGTTTTTTCACCTATTTTTAGATACGAAATACTTTATCTTAAAAGCTATTCTTTTTTATAGGGAACGCGTAACGGTCACTAGTCAAATAAGTTCCGGGGACTCAGAAATCCAAGCCCAGGATCAAGTAGGAACAATACGTACAGAACAGTACAAACGTGACCTAGCCGAGTTCCAAGCGAGGCGATCCTCTGGGAACGCGGAGCTCCTAGAAACTCCGAGAAGTAAATGCGGCCGACATTCCCTCCCAGTGTCTTGCACACGCTGCACTGGAGATCCAGACTCCATTTACGAAAAGAAGTCAGCCGCCAAATGTAAGAAGAAGAATAAAAAATCTGCACCGTACTCCGATGGGAAAGATTACAAGGGCGTCCCGAATATACAGTTCCTGTTCCAAAATCAAGTTTTAATGCCTGGTGAATTGTTTGCCAGGACATCTTATTCTGAACCCAGGAGGTCGACTCGACGCTATCGCTCCCCAGAGTTCTTGAAGCAGCGTCATATAATATTTGATGATGAGCAGCCGATATCGCCGCCGCTGTTCTACAAAAATAATGCTTTACCCTTCGACGCTCATGATTTTCTTCGGTCGAAGGGCAATGAAGAAGTGGACGGGGTCAGTGAACCCGTGCAACAAGATAAAAACGAGACCGATGACAAGCTTTGGGAAGTGATGAGCGAGCTGAAAGATCTGGATCAATGGGCAGATGAACAGCTTCAAAATAATACGACCAGCACGAGTAGGACAGACGATACGGGGGTAAGCATAACACGACCCATTTTGTTCTAATATTCGGTTCTAGCCCTTGTCATAGTATTTTCGTCTTTTTTTATTTAGAGTGACGCCAGTGCATTGGGATTGCCACTAGCCAGTTCGTGCAACTTGAATATGGGTTTCGATAAGGACAATACTTGGACTCAGGGAAAGTGGGGAGTAGTGCCAGTGCAAATTAAGAAACTGTCAGGTGTCACTTTGGAAAAAGTGGAGAGGAAGCTTGTGGTGGAAATAAATATACTCAGGTATAATTCGGCTTCAATTATAATTGGTAATTGTAGCTGTGAAAATTTCCATAATGTACAAAAATTAGCTTTTACTTGTTTTTTTATGCTCTACAAAAATATACATCGCCCTGTGTACGTACGTCCTTACGACCCATCTTTAACATTTGTATATAAAATTATTATATTACCGAGGGTTCATCACACAATTGCCTTAACCACATTTTCCTTAATACCTAAAGTACCTTACCAACTAGATGGCGCTACAGTCGTTACAAGCAGATTTTAAATCGCGCTCGTAAAGTTTTTTCACAACGGATCAAATAGTGAAACGAGACAAATCTTATTTACTCTGGTTTCCCTTCAAAACGTATAAATCTTTCGCCTTTTACTAAAGATTTCCGTGGAGGGGAACACTCAAATGAGTCTAACTCAATTTTTGATAATCTCACTTCGGTGAGGTTCTATTATAAATATCTAAATGAAATTTTTTATTACATATTAATATTATTGTTATAACCTAAACTTTGGTTACGGCTCAGTATGCCTTGTCTAAGTCGAAATAGATATAATAAAGATCCTGATTGTACTATGAAGAATGTGTATACTTGCAATTGAATTAATATAATTTTTCATCGTAAATATATTTTAAGTTAGATCAAATAATAATTCAATAACCTCAAAAAAGATACTGTATTACATTATTAGCCCCCCCCCCCCACCTATCTTGTTGACTAATAAAATTATCAATTTATATCGGCTAAAAGATACTTATAATTAAAATGATTTTATAAATTAAGGTGTATTGCAGGAAGTGTCGCCATCCAAACGTCATTCTCTTAATGGGCCTGTACCCGGGCGTGCATGACGAGGTCTACATTGTGTGCGAAAGATTTATAGATTCGCTCTATGGTATTATCCACGAACAGGTAGATAACGTTAACAATTTTACTTAAAGCTATCGCCAACGTCCATACCACGTTGAATACACCGGTTCTCGTCCGATCACCGAAGTTAAGCAACGTCGGGCGCGGTCAGTACTTGGATGGGTGACCGCCTGGGAACACCGCGTGATGTTGGCTTTTTTGCGTTTAAAAATGCCTTTTCTCAATAAATAGTTTTTTAGCATTATTCAGACGCGGCAATTAACTATTATAATTTTTAGGGTCGAACTCTCAGCGCTCAAACGTCCGTGCACTATGCTGTAGACATCGTAAACGCTCTAGCATTCCTCAAGATGCACAAATATTTACACACTGACCTAAACAGCTCCAGCATTGTAGTTACTGCACAAGATACGGCAAAGCTCGCTGACTTGAGTCCTTGTGTGAAAGAACAGAAAAAATGCAAAATAGAAAAGAACTACGACGACTATTCAAAAGAACCTGTCTACGTTAATATTGAAGGTAACAAATTTGTTCTATTCTAAAAGGCGCTTATTTTACACTAGCCGTGTCAGCGACTTCGTCTGTGTAGAATAGTAATTTTAAGCATCCAGATTTGATTTTGCAAACCTCCTATTGCAACATCCGCATAGGAAATCCAGCGAATTTTTTTTTTCACATTTCTCGCAGTTTCTTCTCTCCTTTCTCGATAGATGCTCTAACCAACACAAACCTTATAATTAGTACTAATAGTTCCTTAGATTAGCTTTCAAATATACTCTTCAACTTTATAATGTTAGATAAGATGGCGCGTTTAATATTATACCTTCATTATTTGAAATCCGCTATTTCTTAGCCCTAGAATGAAATCTACATTAATTATTATCAATGTCTTGCCATTTTGCCTTTGCCGTCAAGGAGTGAAAAGTTACCACCACAATATAAGCGTTAATAATTTGATGACTATTTCGGCTAAGCTATCGCCAACGTCCATACCACGTTGAATACACCGGTTCTCGTCCGATCACCGAAGTTAAGCAACGTCGGGCGCGGTCAGTACTTGGATGGGTGACCGCCTGGGAACACCGCGTGTTGTTGGCCTTTTTGCTGAATTTATCTTTTTACAACAAAATTTAAGAAACCAATATTTTTCATGTAAATTGTACTGTACTTTTGGGTTAAATTATTTTAAATGATAAAACATAATTCAACTAAGTTTTCGATATAATTTATGAAACGGAAAAATATTAATTATATTTTTTTTAATAATCGTACCTTTCTAATATAACTTCTGTTGGGAATATTGCTTGCAGCTACGATGATATTTTTGGATATAAACAAAAATACTTTTAAAATCGCGCACAATAAATTCTTGCTACAATTTTGTCTTTAGAGTTTAGACTACTGTGAGGAACGCATCAAAATTTTTGTACCTGCTTTTATTAACCACTGAATTTTTATGTAGTGAAAATCCATTCGTAATATGTATTTAAACCTAATCTGCAGTTAAAATGTAAACAAGTGTTGTCCTCAGACAACTTCTCAATTTTTCGATAGAGGTGCGCGAGTAGTTCTTGATTCACAAAATGTTTTGAGAACTATTTTCGACTGAGCATTCGCCAACGTCCATACCACGTTGAATACACCGGTTCTCGTCCGATCACCGAAGTTAAGCAACATCGGGCGCAGTCAGTACTTGGATGGGTGACCGCCTGGGAACACTGCGTGATGTTGGCCTTTTTGCTGAATGTATCTTTTTACAACAAAATTCAAAATCTTAGTCACTTAAATCGTACAGTATTTTTGGTGTATATATTTTGAAATTATTTTTGCCCACGACTTCATTAGTCTTTATGCAGGATTATTAAATACGTCGTAGAGAGATCTCGTTACTTTTGTGGAGTTTAAAGCTAATATCAAGTTAATGTAACCAGCCATTGGAATATTTCATAAATTACAACGTGATAACATAAATTGTAAACAAAAATATATCCTATGCTAAATTTCGTCTAAACTTACAACTGTGCTATCGCCAACGTCCATACCACGTTGAATACACCGGTTCTCGTCCGATCACCGAAGTTAAGCAACGTCGGGCGCGGTCAGTACTTGGATGGGTGACCGCCTGGGAACACCGCGTGATGTTGGCTTTTTTTGTTAAATTACTCTTAGTTTAGTTTTTATTGATTTTACTTATTATTAACGGAAATTGATTTCCCTTATTTTCAGACACACTAAAATCTAGAACTCCAGATTCTGAACCTCTACTGTCAGCGCGGTCATCCGAAAACTGTCTTCAGGACAGTGTAAAAAAACAGTACAAATCATACTGCGATTCTGAGTATTATAGGTGGCAGGCTCCAGAATTATTTGACCCCGATGAGGAAGGATTCGTCCATCCGTGCTCCAAGAGTGATGTGTACTCTTTATGTCTTGTGCTCTGGGAGTGCTGTAATGGTTAGTTCTACTTACCTGTTACAATAGAAATTGAATATAACAAAATGAAAAATATACAACACTTAAAATTGCCGAAACCTTTGATATTTATTTTGATTGAATTAAATTAAAGTGAACTTCAGTAAGTGACAATCTAAAAATTTTACAGCATTTGACAGATTCATAGATCTTTTTACTTCCACACTATTAGTGTAAGTGTAACACACTATAAGTGTTAGTGTTCTGGATCTCATTAGGGAACTACAATTATATATGTCTAAGTTTACGCGAGTAGTACACATTTAAATAAAACACTTTAACGTTAAAACGCGATATATTAGTTAAACTTATTTGAAAATGATTTTTAACTTCGCCAGTGAGCAGCGTGCCCGGGAGACTCCCCGTGACCACGGCTGCTGCAAAGCATCCGAAACGTCGGGCCGAAGTTAAAAATATTTTCAAATAAGTTTAACTAATATATCGCTTTTAAACCGTTAAAGTGTTTTATTTAAATGAACTACAATTATATTCATTTATCCTAAAATCCGTTCGGTGTTGACAAAAATGATAAGTACATAAATTAAAAATCGAAAATTATTTACCCGGGCAGGGCTTGAACCGCCATCTACAGCGTTCTGTGCTGTCGCTCTAACCAAATGACGATCGGTAGCACAATTGGTTAGATTAAGAGCCTATTGCTCTAAATCACGGACAGCTGTAGATGCCGGTTCAAGTCCAGCCCGAGTCGTAAATTTTAAAATTTATTTTCGATTTCATACCATGTGCTATTTGTGAAACATGTGAAAAACATTAGAATTTTTATAAATAAATAAATTACCAACATCTAAAGAATACTTAGTTGAAAATTTTAATATTTAAGATGTATTTTTTATTAATTATATTATTGCGATTTTTATTACAGCGTCAATACCATGGCAATCTTATACATATGAAAAACTTAAAAAAGCGTATACGGTATGGAATGTGGGTTTTCGTCTACCACAGGATGGGACATATCCCGGTTGTTTACTGTCCCTTCTGCAAAAAGGGTTGTGTGTCCAACGAGAAGAACGTTACGATCTAACAGCCCTGCAGTCAACATTACAAATTGTAGAGGTAGGCATATATTTAATTATTAAACATTGTATTTAAGTTAAACTTCGCCAACGTCCATACCACGTTGAATACACCGGTTCTCGTCCGATCACCGTCGGGCAACGTCGGCAACGTCCGTTAAGCAACGTCGGGCGCGGTCAGTACTTTGATGGGTGACCGCCTGGGAACACCGCGTGATGTTGGCTTTTTTTTATCTACAACAAGTCATAGAGAATAATGTAACGTATAATAATCTGATCTTTTTTATATAGGAAAACCTTAACAAAATGGAGTACATAGTAATACCGCAGCGCGTTGGTATGAAAAAGTCCGACTTCAGTTCCCAAGCGTGGGACTCGATTACACCTACCGACTCGGACTGCCATAGCCCGAAGACCATAGAGCATAACGCCGTGGTCCATCCACATAGCTCAACTGACAGTGGTAGCCCGATCTACCACACTGTTCGAAAGACCGCCGAGCCATACGACCGAGTTGATAAATGCTTTCTGTCAGATGAAGACGTGAAAGACAATATGGCTAACAAGTATGAAAGACTAGAAAAGGTAGAATTTATAATCTTTGTATGACTTAATATATTTAGTAGTTTTATTGTAAAACGTAAACTACTACATTAACCAATCAGAAACTGTTGGATTTAAAGTTAATAAAGGTTTACATTAATGTTCAAAAGACAAAGAAGGCAAGAACCTCAGGTATTCTATAATTATATAAGGATTTCCGCTGTAAATATGCATTTGATTTAGCTATTTTACGGTTTAAAGCGGTCTCTTACGGTCTTTAAAAAAAAACAAATATAAAAATAATTAATAATCCACGGTCTGATTGTCTTACTATAAACAGCTAATCTTCATCCTTATTTGCAGGATTATTCAAGTGCTTGTTCCACGCCCATATCAAAGTTTCGCGAACGTAATAAGGATTTAACACCTGGCACATTACACCGTAGCGACTCCACTGAATACTGCAGTATCTTGAGCCCGGACTCAAAGCATTTTGCATTTAACGACTGTAGTTTTAAGGATCAAAGTGGCGAACCAGTAACTGCTAAACTCAGCCGCAGTTTTACTCCAAAATCGTATAAACCTCTTCAAATCAAAGTCCCAGATTTTAAATTAGACTCTATTCGTGATATAGTTAAGAATCAGAATAAGGAACGTGGTTCCTATAACTTTGATATCCAGAACTACAGCTTACCGAACACCCCTATAGCCAGGAGTAACAAATTAAGGAAAAACGCATGGCTCTCTGGAGAACTGGATGTGAAGGAAAAATCTCTAGACAAATCCAATAATGGTGTGGCCACAGAAAAAACGTCGAAGAGCAACAGCGGTAAGGCGATAGATTTTTCCATAAACTAAGAATGGTCGCTAAAAATATATTTTCTTATCAAATACTGTTTAAATTAGTCATAGATATGAAATTATTCTTCTTACTACTATTTGTGGCTAAATTGTCGCCAACGTCCATACCACGTTGAATACACCGGTTCTCGTCCGATCACCGAAGTTAAGCAACGTCGGGCGCGGTCAGTACTTGGATGGGTGACCGCCTGGGAACACCGCGTGATGTTGGCCTTTTTGCTTATTCAGCTCTTGCAACTTATAAGGAATTCCAATATTTTTTGCTTAAATATGTACTAAAATAAGCTGAAAAGTTTGTTTGTTTGAACGCCTTAATCACAGGAACTACTCATTCGAATCAAACAATTCAAAATGGTTCAAGATTCCTAAAAAATATGTTATAAATAATGATTTCTCTTTAAATGAACTAAAAAGATCTCGACGACTGTATTTGTCGAACTTTTAAGATTAGTTTGCATGAACCACGAGACGCGAACGACGCTTATAAATCTTGTAAAAAATTTAGCTTATGAAGATAAGGAGTAGATTTGCATAAACACACGTTGACGCACAATATAACTGTCCTACGCGGAAGATGTTGCTGACACAGCGAGTTCTATCTATATACATACTGGTTTTTGTTTTTTTTTTTATTGTAAGGTATACACAATTTTATATACAATTACTACTCTGTTGACTATTTCCGGCTCAGCTTTCGCCAACGTCCATACCACGTTGAATACACCGGTTCTCGTCTGATCACCGAAATTAAGCAACGTCGGGCGCAGTCAGTATTTAAATGGGTGACCGCCTGGGAACACTGCGTGATGTTGGCTTTTTTATCTAAATATTATGATTTTTTTGCGCAGAATCACCGGAGTGCGTTCTTTATCAAAATCAAACCCAAGAAAATCAAATGGAAACGTCCCTAAATGTATCTTTAAATCCAAGTGACAATAAAAGTTCTGAAGCTTTACACGACGATTCACATGCTAGTAAAGAAACTATTCGCGATGCCTATACTGGTTTGAAAAGGTGTGTACATAAATATCATTTTAAATAGTAAACCAAGATTTTTAGTCATGTATCCTTTTTGTGTTTGGAATCCTTGTATCCTTTTCTCGCCGTATGTTATTGTATGTGTGTTTCTAAATTATGTTCTTAGCTACTATATAGCAAAAACAAAGATTTCCAAAAGTATATGGTAACATTTTCTTCCTATAATATATAAAAAGACTTACACCTATACTTCTTAAACATGTTCCAGGATCCCGGACCCACCGTACGATTTTTCGTTCTCCGAGATTGAAGAACCGCGGCGCACGACTTGGTTCACGCAGTCGGCTATAACTGGCAATAGCAGATATAAGGTGGAAGATGAGATCCTGGCCACTGTAAACGTGAAACCACTTGTCGCGATACATGAAAAGTGGATTCAGGAAGCCAATAAGAAGACTGGTCGATCACTCTCGTTACCAGAAGACAGGTGAGTTCAAAGTCTAGCTTCTTCGTCTGTCAGGATTGATAAAAAATATTATTTTTCTAGAACTCTGTGACAATCGAGTTGACGTACCGGAAAACTGTACTCTATCAAAGACCAAAGTCATTTTTTCTAGTCATCTATGTTATTGAGCTAATAATGTTTTTGTTTCTTATTCCTTGATATTTTCTAAAAATGAAACTTAATTAATAAAAAATATATTTTTATCGATTCCATATCTGGATTTAAGAATTATATTCGTTGTTTGTTTACCTACCTCACAACGAATAATCAATTTAAATTACCAATAGTAAGTTTCTTATACTTTAAAAAATAGTATTGTATACATCTTAGGTCTTATGTAAGAATAATACATAATAATATGCTATGCGCTGACTTGCTGATGCATGCATCTAATAAAAATGGGAGCAGAACACTATTTTCATATTTTTACATATTGACATACTTTTGTTAAAGAAAAAAAATTTTAAGTTTAATTCCAAACGAAGTAAAAGATACTCTGCTTAATAAATTTCGGCTCAACTATAGCCAACGTCCATACCACGTTGAATACACCGGTTCTCGTCCGATCACCGAAGTTAAGCAACGTCGGGCGCGGTCAGTACTTGGATGGGTGACCGCCTGGGAACACCGCGTGATGTTGGCTTTTTTGCTGAATAAATGAAAAGATAATTTTTACAACAAACTTTAAGAAACCAATATTTTTCATGTAAATTGTACTGTATTTTTGGGTTAGATTATTTTAAATAATAAAACATAATTCAACTAAGTTTTCGATATAATTTATGAAACGGACAAATATTAATTATATATATATTTTTTAATAATCGTACTTCTCTAATATAACTTCGGTTGGGAATATTGCTTGCAGCTACGATGATATTTTTGGATATACACAAAAATACTTTTAAAATCGCGCACGATAAATTCTTGCTACAATTTTGTCTTTAGACTACTGTGAGGAACGCATCAAAATTTTTGTACCTGCTTTTATTAACCACTGAATTTTTATGTAGTGAAAATCCATTTGTAATATGTATTTAAACCTAATCTGCAGTTAAAATGTAAACAAGTGTTATGCTCAGACAACTTCTCAATTTTTCGATAGAGGTGCCCGAGTAGTTCTTGATTAACAAAATGTTTTGAGAACTATTTTCGATTTAATTAACTCGTTGAATACTATTTTTTTCAGTAGAAAGACTGTACGCGCAGTAAAGCCAGCGTCACACTGCACCGACACTCTACAGAAGTCACTGCCGCAGTTGTTCTTCAAGCCCAGTTTGCCGAAACCTAAACGAGCCACTCCTGTGTCGCCGGCTTCTAGTTGGAAAAGTGGTCAGTCAATTTAAAACAGCTTGCATGTGGGAATAAACGCCTTTTCACTTCTAAGTTTTTTTTTGCGGTGGCTGGTATTATGTTGACAACACAGCATTTCGGTTACACACTGTGTAAAACAGCTCTTAACATGTAAAAGGTATTTTTTTTAAATATAGATATAAATATTGAGGTGTATTGAATAATTAAAGGATTTTTATAGAACACAGAGTCCTTAGGTTCATTTATGGAAGATGAAAAGTCGTAGACCTCAATTATCTAAATAGAAAGTTCAGTTTATCTATTTTGAATGTGCACATTTTGTTTATTATGATATAAGATATTTGTTTGTTTTAAATGTTTAAACATGGAAAAATTTAGATTAAATTAATTTGAACAAATTTCTAAATATACTTTTATTAAATTAACTCTTTATCCCACCTTTGCCAAAATTAAGTTTAAATTTATTGAGGTTCTCATATGGAAATTATACGTTTTCAAGCTTTGTTTGAAAATAATGTCGTGAACACTTATTTTTTTTTAAATATTATTATTTTAAATAGGGACATCATTTTGATTCACGTAATAAAATGGATCTTATATAGTTTATTAATTTTGTTTGCGCACATACAGTACATTATTGTAACAGGTTTGTGTTTTATTGCATGTTTATCATAACTACTAAACACTGATTAACAGTGTTGTTCGATTAGGCTATTTTTAAGTCTGCTTTATAATTTATTTTATTATTTTAGGTCTTAAGTGGATGTTTTGGTAAATGATACAGGTAAGTTTTATGATTTGTTTGTAGTTTAGCGTGTTCGGTACTTCTAAGTTATTACACTACTAAGGTGCCAAATTTAACTGATATTAAGGTAACATCGTTTCTGATTACAGGTCCCTGGGACCAATGCTACCATTCTCGCGATGCCATCTCTAAGAGCGTGAATATTCCTATTCGAGGCTTTGACCGGGAATCGAGACGGGATAGTGACAAGTCGTACGTATTTTAAACATTACATTTCAACTACAGTAGGGCCTCGTTAATCCGAAAACGCAAAAACAAGACCCACGTCGGATTATCGAGGCGTCCGGATAATAGTATGTCATACCTAAGTATTTAACGTTAATAAAACACATGTTTAACCTTAGTTGTAATAGTAGAAATGTATAGCATTGTAACAAAATGTTCAAAATTGCGTGGTATGAATCGGATTAAGTGTGTTGTGCATTTTAAAGTACTCTCGTGTGAACTACAAAAAATGCACACGTATGTACGTAAGTCTTATCAATGCCTAGGTGCAACCAAGGCATGTGTACTTTGTCAAATAAGGCGCGTAAATTAAAACTAATTAGTACAATTAAGAACTTTAACACTTATATAAAATATTTTTTACGCGCCAAAGTATTATTATTTTCCCACTACCAATCTTTCTAGCTTAGCTTTGAGGAAACATCTTCAATTTTGGGTGGACCCTATTCTACTGTCATATTATGAACAGTATAACGTAATTTAGCAGTTTTAATTTGGTGTCTATTTTGGGCTTAGCTATTGCCAACGTCCATACCATGTTGAATACACCGGTTCTCGTCCGATCACCGAAGTTAAGCAACATCGGGCGCAGTCAGTACTTGGATGGGTGACCGCCTGGGAACACTGCGTGATGTTGGCCTTTTTGCTAAATTTATCTTTTTACAACAAAATGGATTCAAAATTTTAGTTGTCGAAAGGGGGGGCCCCGACCGAATTAACTTTTTAAAAAATTTATAGTACAGTACTCTTTTTTGGTGTATATATCTTTTAAACTATTTTTGCCCACAACTGATTCACGTTATTCTATGCAGGATTATTAAATACGTCGTAGAGAAATCTCCTTACTTTTGTAGAGTATACAGCTAATATCAAGTTAATGTAACCAGCCCAGTAGCGACGTCACTCAAGCTACTTACGTTGGAATATTTCATAAATTACAACGTGATAACATAAATTGTAAACAAAAATTTATCCTATGCTAAATTTCGTCTAAACTTACGACCGAGCTATCGCCAACGTCCATACCACGTTGAATACACCGGTTCTCGTCCGATCACCGAAGTTAAGCAACGTCGGGCGCGGTCAGTACTTGGATGGGTGACCGCCTGGGAACACCGCGTGATGTTGGCCTTTTGCTTTTTATATAACCAATATTTTATTTTATTTTTCAGAACAATAACCGATGACAACATGAGCTGTACTCAGAAAATCGATCAAGCGACCGACACAAGTAACATTGAGGACTTCATACGCGACATGATTCGTAAAGAATTCCAATTTCTTAGTGACCATGAGATGGCCGAGCCGTCCAACAGGAAAACTCAAGAGTTAATAAATAAAGGAGTGGCTAATGTCCTTGAGAGCCTTAAAGAGGACGCAGACATTAAATCAGTGAAATCGTTCTCGAAAGTGAAAATAAACGGAAATAATAAGCCCCTACTACAAATAACATTCAGTCGCAATGGCGAAAATAGCATGCAAGTGCTCGACAATTGCGTTAATGTTACAATTGGAGAAAATAATGCCAAAGAGAAGCTAAATATATCTATCGATGATACGTTGACAGAAGAAATTCATGTGAACGCTCTGAAGAGATGCCAGGCTTTCAATGCGATTCAGGTGAGAAATCATATCTAAGATTATTCGTCGTTGTAAGCGACGGTGTGTATGAGACCTTTAATTTTATTTCCCATATAACAAACTCCCGTATAACAAATTGTACATAAAACATTTCAGTTATTTAGTTCATTTTAACATGTCTGCGTTATATACATGACGGCGAAAGCGACGACTAAGCGGTAGCACCGTCACCATCTTGACTATATATATATATATTACGTACGTACATTGTTATTATTTTCATGCACAAATTTTATTTATAAGTTTGTAAATATCTTATTATGGCAATAAAACTTTTAAATTTGAATTAAATTAAAAATCAACTTAGATTGAAAAACGGAAACGGCGGTTTAATTGGAACGCGGTGGATACGGGTTCAAGTCCCGCTCATGTCGTAAACTTTTTCAATTTGAATTGTATAATAATATATTTAGTGTTATCTGTTCACTATTTTCGGCTGAGCTTTCGCCAACGTCCATACCACGTTGAATACACCGGTTCTCGTCCGATCACCGAAGTTAAGCAACGTCGGGCGCGGTCAGTACTTGGATGGGTGACCGCCTGGGAACACCGCGTGATGTTGGCCTTTTTGCTGATTTACGAAGCTTGAAGTTATAGTTTATTTTACCTTACCTTTGTGCAGTTGGTTGTAACTCTTTTTAGCTGTTTCTTTGGGATCAGTCATCAGAAGTAACTGTTAAAGATTTGGAAAAATAAATAGTTACATAGTACATTTTCTTAATTACAGGAAGCCAAAAGCACTGAAGATTTATATATAGATGACGATATTTCTACTCATATGCAAGAAAATTTCGGTGGTAAAGTAAAATTGATACCACTACATGGGTCGTTGCATGAAATATTATGCGATAGGGAAGAGGACTGTTGTCTTCTCAAAGTGAAGCAGGAAAATGGATGCGATAGTATATACTTTAAGTGCGACACTTCTGACACTGAGTCTAGGTAATTCTAATTTATCTTTTGGACCTGATTATAGATTTTTACCAAAATTTTGATTTGAACGGAATAATATTAATAGCCTAGGCATTTAGCAAATTTTTCATGCTGTCCCCTCACACGCGAAATGTTATTTCAGAGACGCTATAGATGGCTCGGACCGAAAGGACACCGTGGTCTTCAAACGGAGCATATCTGTCGTCGAAGAGCGTATACAACGCGTCTTCCCCAAAGACAAGAGACAAACCCCGGTTGCTGCACTCAAAAAACTTAGTGACAAACTGAAATCTAGACCAAAATCCGAAGTCTTCGTCCAAAACATAAACAAAGATGTCCGAGCGCTTAGCAACAGTAGCCCATCTCTATTTTCCGGTGATAAAGAAGTGGAAGTCAATATAGAGAACGTTATGTCCTACCAGGACTCGTCGTCCGACGAATGCCTAAAGTGCGCGGCAGAAAATGATGAATTCGAGATCATCGAACGGGAAATTGAAGAAGAACTGTCCAATACTCATTTATCGACCCTCGCCTGTAACTGCCTAGAAAAGATATCTGAGGAGAACCTATCAACTATTCACGAAGAAGAGAAATAGTTCTATTCATTATTGTGAGGCTTCGTCACGGAACAAGTATTTTTAATTTCCTTAGATCTTAAAAGGTTTAGACCACCATGTCAAAAAAGCTTAGCCCCTGAGTTTCGTACAACAAATGACCAAGGTCAAACATTTTGTATCACGTTTTTATTTCTGCATTTATGTCTCACTTGTTGAATTTTTATAATTGATAATAATAACTTTTTGATGTTTTGGTCTGTACTAGGAGATATTTTGATATTTTTCTCAAACCTTACTTTTCTCAAATACATACATTAACCTATGTTTTGCTTTTAACGTGTATCTTGCATGGTCCGATATTGTAAGGATTAACTTACTATTATTGTCGATTACTTGCTTTATTTTTTTTATTGTTGATTCAAAGATGTTTTTAATGTAATCATTGTTCTATATAACTTTTAAACTTTTTTGTGCTCTTGTGCGGGCTGCGGCCTCAAGTACAAATGTGATTGCTAAGCCGGCTGGCGTTGACAATTTCTCCGTGCGCATTTGAAACCCAAAGATGCTCTTTTTATAATTTAAGATGTTTACGTGTGCTGTAGCGCAAATGTGATTTAATACTAAGTAGCACTATACATTCCACTGTGGTGATTTAGATTATTATTCTTTAATTATTGTTTTAAGATTTAGACCAAAGGAAGATATACGGTGTTGTTTGCTTCGAAGGTCCAGATTTTAAGAGGTTGTCTTAGTTGTAATAGATTGTTTTTAGAGGTTAAAATATAGATTTGTAATTGATTTTAGACGTAATAAATAAAGCGTCGTTAAATATTATGCGTTTACATTAATTTACTATGTTCGGTTTAGCAATCGCCAACGTCCATACCACGTTGAATACACCGGTTCTCGTCCGATCACCGAAGTTAAGCAACGTCGGGCGCAGTCAGTACTTGGATGGGTGACCGCCTGGGAACACTGCGTGATGTTGGCCTTTTTGCTAAATTAACTTTTTACAACAAATTTGAGGGATTCCAATCCTTTTCACATAATCATACTCTATTTTTGGTGTATATATCTTTTAAACTAGTTGTGCCCACAACTGATTCGCGTGTATTTATGCAGGATTATTGAATACGTCGTAAAGAGATCTCCTTACTTTTGTGGATTATACAGCTAATATCAAGTTAATGTAACCAGCCCAGTAGCGACGCTACTCTAGCATTGGAATATGTCATAAATTAAAATGTGATAATATAAATTGTAAACAAATAAATTATCCTATGCTAAATTTCGTCTAAACTTACGACCGAGCTATCGCCAACGTCCATACCACGTTGAATACACCGGTTCTCGTCCGATCACCGAAGTTAAGCAACGTCGGGCGCGGTCAGTACTTGGATGGGTGACCGCCTGGGAACACCGCGTGATGTTGGCCTTTTTGCTGATTTTTTTTTACAACAAAATTGAGGGACTTCAATGCTTTTCGTTTGAATTGCAATATATTTTAAACTAAGTAAGTTCTCCAACTCTAATAACGTCAAAACAGATGGCGCTAGTGTTAGTAGATTCGACTTAGACACACTTTATAGCCATTCTTCAGTCCAACCGTGAATGGGGCTGCTGTAAACATCCCAAACCTCGTAGTTAAGAAAAATAAAAATAAGTTTCAGAGTTAATCTATTTTTCGTTTCTCTCGTATTTTAAAGTACCTAGTCCAATATATGTACGTGACTATAACAAGTTCCATTGGGTTTTAATTGAGTAAAAAACTATCTGCATATAAAAATATTTTATTAAACGTAACTAACAAGTTACGCACACAGTTTACATTTACAAACGTAAATGCCGAACAACTCATAACACTGGTTATGGAAGACTAGTTTACAGACACGAGGTACAAATTGTTACAACACTAACTTATTATACAAATAAAAGGTATAACATTTACTATTTGTGCACCACTGTTAAAACTCAGTCAAATTGTATATTATAAATACCCTAAGGTAAATTGTGCTAGTGTTCTATAGATTTGATGTTAGTAATTGTTATATTGGCAAAAGCAGAACATTCATTATTTAACATTACGCTGTTATATAAAAGTTCATAATATGCAAAACTACTGTGCACCATCAATAACTTGTACAGGATTGTTTTCATTTCATTTAAAACTGTTTAAATAAGATGGATACCAGACACTTTCTAATAAACAATGGTAGTATTAAGTTGTAGTAAACATTTGACATAAGTTTTTATATCGTCAAAGTCAGTTACGAGTTCTTTGCGGACAGCCGCACCAAAACCGATTTGACTTCAGTGTAATTGTTGATGCCGTATGGTCCGTTCTCTCGTCCCAAACCGGATTGCTTGAATCCTCCGAATGGAACTTGGTGTCCGAATACGTTGTAATCGTTCACCCATACTGTGCCGGCGCGAACACCCTATAAAAATAATGTTTTCCATTAAAATCCAATTTGTAGTTTACGTAAGTAGTACACATGTAAATAAAGCACTTCCAAAGATTTAAAACGCGAAATATAATGATCTTAGTTTTATTTATCTGACTGTGACCGTGACGTATTTTATTTAAAATAATATACTTTCTTAAATCACTATAGATTTTCCCAGAACTGTATGAACTGGGGAACAGGGAATAATACATTAACTAGGGGTTACCTGAATGAGATAATTGGCTTTGTCCAAGTCCTTAGTAAAGATTCCAGCTGCGAGCCCGTACTCGGAATTATTAGCACGTGCGATAACCTCGTCCAGATCTGAAAACTTGATGATTTGCTGCACGGGCCCGAAGATCTAAAAATTATAGCATATATAACACTTTAATTCCTTTAAGTAATAACTTGCGTGTATCATGCAATCATATAGACCGCTGAATCCCTTACCTCAACCTTGGCGATATCCATATCATCCTTGACATCAGCGAAGACGGTTGGTTGCACGAAGTATCCACTATCTCCAGCACGCTGCCCACCCGTCAATAGATTAGCTCCCTGCTGCTTTCCTCTCTCTATCAGACTTAGGATCTTCTCGTGTTGCTCTGCATCAATCTGAGGAACGCATTCTTTATATATCGTATACCAAAGTTACGATACTCCAAACAGATCATGGAAGAAGAGTATCTAGCATTCATAGAATCATAAAAAGCTTAAATGTGTTTATTAAAAACAACATACAAGCGTTATCTATTAGGGTAATTTTAATCTTAATACTATGTAGTCAAGTGTGTTGGCAAGAATTTATTCTACATAACTTCCGTCGAAATTGCGTTGTTGTTAACATAATCTGACAAAAACACCACATCATGCTTGATAAACGTGACCACGTAGAAATAATTAACTTGTCATAAAGGGTTAGTACAAAGTTTATCGTTATAGTTTGGTTACTTTTTGTTTTATAATCTTTTTTATCGTTTCAATATTGATTGTTTAATTTGCATCACGACAAATAGCCGCCTCTTTTGAGGAAAAAAAAAAAAAAAAAAAAAAAAAAAAAAAAAAAAAAAAAAAGGGGGGGTGGGGGGAAAAAAAAAAAATTTTTTAAGGGGGGGGGGGGAAGGGGGGGAAAAAAAAAAAAAAAAAAAAAAAAAAAAAAGGGAAATTTTTGGGGGGGGGGGGGGGGGGGGGGGGGGGGGGGGGGCTTTCCGGGCTGTTGCTCTACAATTGAGTACAAAGCTCTTTTATGTCGATCAAAAGAAAATAAATAATAATATTATTAAAAAAAATTAAACAGTTTTTGCTTTTCTATTTTGCCTCATGTATTGAAGAAAAAAAAAACGAAAAAAAATAAAAAATTTTCGACTCGAGACTTCGATATTAGGGGAACCACCCCCCCCCCCCCCCCCCCTTTTTTTTTAAAATTTTAAAAAAAAACCCCCCCCCCCCCAAATTTTTTTTTTTTTTTTTTTTTTTAAATTTTTTTTTGTTTTTTAAAATAAAAATTTTTTTGTTTTTCTTTTTCGCCGTCATGATTAAGATATTGTTCTCGACGTTATTCGAATACTTAAATTTTGGCTTAGTCGAAGAACGCGCGAGGTTCTAGATTTGCAAGCTGGTGACAAAAGCCTTGTTAGAATTTACAAAAGTATTTTTATTCTGCACTTTATTGCAGAAAAGTTGTAATTCTAATACATACCTGTGGTCCCTGCTCTGTTTTGGGGTCAAATGGATTGCCGACCACTCTCCTCTTAGCCCTTTCCGCTGACATTTCCACGAATTTGTCGTAGATCTTCTCATGTACGAAGGTACGAGATCCTATAAAACAAGTAGGTACTATTTAACATATATGTAAACACTGATTGATGTCTTTGAAAAAATGGTGCGAGTAGATGAAGGGTGAGGTTTCATTTCATTTAAGTAAATTATTATGAAAATTCTCTAAATAGATTTTGGTGCGTATTTCTAAAGAAACTTCCCCTACGTATTCTATACGCAAACCCCGTGATAAGTAGTTTAAAAAGAAGTATAAAGGGAATTCTTTCGTTGCATATTACGTATTAGGTATGTATACACAATAATGAAACATTAATGCGGTATTTCTAATTAGCTTCCGTTCCGCTTTCGTTAGAGCAGTGATTTGTTAATGTGTTGATTGTAACTTAATCATATGACAAACATTATTTTCGAATAAACAATAAGCAAATTGCTTTATTTGTTAATATAAAAATATCTTTATCGATCATGTTACAATAAGTTTCATAAAAATGCAGGACATATGTAACAACATTATGATTATTGACGTCGGCTCGAAGGACCGAACGTGTGACATAATGGTTAAGAAACTTTGATAAAGATTTCTTCTTGCACTCATTCTAGTAAACATAACTTACCAGCGCAGCAGCATTGTCCCATATTATAGAACAGAGCCATGTGAGATTGCTCTACGGCGTAAGGAAGGTCGCAGTCATCTAGTACAATATTCGGGGATTTCCCTCCCAATTCCAGAGTAATCCGCTTAACCGTGTTGGCGGCGCCACGTTGGATCAATTTTCCAACCTCCGTAGAACCTAACAACACGAAATATTTTAATGAATCTCCAAAACAATCGACCGTTCAATACATGTGCATAACAAATTCATAAAAAACATAATTACGAATATGCAGACTACGAACGTAACATCACTTTGCATCACGCCAATTTTATAGCACACTAGTAACTGTATCTGCTCACCAGTAAAAGCAATCTTATCGACGTCGGGATGGTCCACCAAAGCCGCCCCGGCATCTCCGAAGCCAGGAACAACGTTTATGACGCCCGCGGGGAAGCCAGCTTCCTGTGATAAGGATAAAGTATTACATAATGTTTTATACATTAAATTCTATTGAAATTATTTTCATACATTGGAGAAGTTGACATAGCGAATTTATTACAAATGCCTGTATGAAAATCGATAGCTGATTAATGTACTACAGTAGGGTCTCGTTAATCCGGAGACACAAAATAAGAACCTTTTCGGATTATCGAGGCGTCCGGATTATAGTATGTCATACCTTTTTAAGGTTGTTGTATAGCAATATAGAATATAATAACAAATTACACTGACGGAGTGCGCATTGGCTTATACGTATGACAGCCCGCACCTACACTCGCTGGACTTTCCCGCTCCCCCGCGAATACCATTGCCCGGATTACTGGGATCACGGAACAAGTGGGAGTCCGGATTACCGGGGCTTTACTGTATTTTTTAATATCTAATTTTTAAATAGGAAAAGACATTTTGAGACGACCAAAAGAAAACACAACGATAAGTAAGTCGCATATCCTACTAGACGTGGATAGTAAACGTAACTATCGTAAGAACTATGTGTTTTTTTTTTCAATTATTTTAGATAATTGTTATTTTATCTCAGACCACATAATCGTAATTCAAACTATTATAATATTGTAATTCAAACTATTATAATATTTTAATCTTTCCGTATGCATCTTTAATAGATTTTATCAACATATACGCCAGATGAATTATCACAACCGGTTACTCCAATTTAGCATTAACCTTGACTATTAGATTCGATGGGATTCATTCTACATATTTGCGAATTACGATTTTCGCACTTACTATGCTTGGAAGGTCACCTTAAGCAAACATTTATTTTATTCGCTGTCCCGATATAGCAAAGGTGATAACAGACAGTAACGAACTTGTGTAGATAATATTGCATTTATGCGATACATTTTTGAAGACCGCTTTTTACACATCTATTTTACATAAACGGAGTTTCGGATGCTTTGCAGCAGCCGTGGTCACGGGGAGACGGCTGCTGCAAAGCATCTGAAACGTCGGGCCGAAGTTAAAAATCATTTCCAAATAAGTTTAACTAATATATCGCGTTTTAAACCGTTAAAGTGTTTTATTTAAAAATTATATAAACGTTTTTTGTTTATTGTAAGTAGCACCGGTATGTATTTAAGAAACAAATAAATATATAAAATATGCAACAAACGAACAACTTGCTTCAATATTGTATTATTGAAGATACATCTTAGGGATTTGAACCAAGACCTCTCGCGTTTTACATTAGGATTAGGAGTCCTGTGTAAGTCTTACCTTAGCTAGTTGTGCAATGTACAGGGCAGTGAGCGGTGTCTGTTCGGCCGGTTTCAATACCAATGTGTTGCCAGTGGCCAAGGCCGGGCCCAACTTCCAGGATGCCATCAACAACGGGAAATTCCATGGTATGATTTGACCGCACACACCTGTTGAACGATATTAACATTCAAGAACCGTTGTTCCCAGCTTAGTACCATAGAGAATAACGAATTGCTATATAAAATTCGATATTCAAAATACAATGAAAATTTAGAATGATGATGAAGATAATTTTTTATTGAAACGGACTTACCAACTGGCTCATGTCGTGTGTACGCGAAGTATTTCCCATCAGTGGGCAGCACTTTTCCATGGTTTTTGTCTGCCCAGCCGGCGTAGTATCGTAAATTCTTAATAGTGGCAGCGACATCGCCGTAGTAAGCTGCTAAGAACGGCTTACCGTTGTCGAGGGTCTCCAGACTCTGAAATCATGTTTATAGTGAACACATACAAATATAAAGAGGAACAAAATTATATATATTTAAAAACCAACCAAGAATACGTAAAACAAGTAATAAAACATACAAACAAAGTTAAAAGAAAGCTTCGTAGTTTAAGTAAGAGTTTAATATTTTAAGCCAACGTTGGAAGTAACTCTACTGTGTATTCATTTCCTAGAAGTATCCTTAATAGTCAATACCTATTCCTTCCATTTGTATTGTGCAATATAAATGGACATCACAGTTTTCTGGACGCTATAGTCAATATAATAATATATAAAATTATTCTACATAAAGGTCTGCGTATCCAACTGGATATTCAGGAGCAGCGTCAGCAAAACGTGCGTTACATTAAATTTATTTTATATATTGACTAAAGAAAATGATACTTAGAATTCATATACATAGATAAAGATAGATTGTTAATAACTATGTATCAGCCAAAACATTGTTATCAGACGATTAACTAGAACATTATTAAGTATAAAGTATTTATAAAGTATTTATTCAGGAACCATATTTACATTAAACTGTTTTTGATCTGGAAACCCTTTTAAGTAAATAATACCTGTGACAGGGTTTCCAGCTCTTCCATATCATTTAATAATACATTATTCCGTATCCCTAAATAATTAAACATGCTTTTTTATTTATTTAAATAATATTGGTGTGTGTGTATAAGTATTGATGTGATGTGTGAGTTGATGTGTATGGGTGTGTGAGAAAGTGATTGATCATGAGGATGTATGATGATTTAACTGGGATTCTTCAATATATCCTCTAGCTGATTATAGCTTACACTTTATTTCACATTATTGTTTATATTATTACGATTATACAATGCTTATAGCATAATGACTTGGCATTTCTCATTTTACACAATATTTTGTAAGCGTGTCTGTTTTTATGTGTTTTGTCATCGTTTATTCACCATGATACGACGTTATAGTGATATTCCGGTTTCTTTTTTGAAATTTATTTTTCAACAGTTCAAAAACACAAGAAGTTTTGTAAAATAGCCGCGAAAACCTTCTAAAATGTCTAGTTATATAGATATTTTTTATGTAGTAAATTAAGAACTAAAAGTATTCTGTTTCTTGTTGTTCAGGTGAAATATACGGTGATTTAAAATGTACATAAATATCATTCATCGCTTGTTGAACTATTAAGCAGAACGTTATTTTTAGCATTATTACGAATAGGCTCATAAATCCTTATAGCACAATGACTCGACATTTTTATTTTAAATCTCAGATCGGTAGCGTAGCAATTTTTATTGTATTATTGATCACAGAAATAATGACCTTGATATGACAAATTTGTAAAAACTGTATACAATAATAATATTTTTTCTATGTATAAAAAAGACTTCCCTTCCAAATTGAAATTATAAATACACAAACACCATTGTAACGTGTCAAAGAGTATTAAACATCCATTTAGACGTTCGTATTTATAATATTAGTAACATGATAGAATTAGTATGATGTGGACAATTTATTTAGTAAACAACTTACCGAAATGTATGACCTCTCTCTTTCAATAAGATCGGCGAGTCTGTTTAGGAGATAGCCACGTTGCGATGCGTCCATAGTTCGCCATGGTGAACCCAATCTTAGGAAAATATGACATAGTATTACAAGAAAATTGTTTTTTGTCTTTTTTTTCTGTTTAAAATATTAGATTCTTGCTAATTAAATTATGACGAATTAGTATAATATTACAGAATTAGTACAAACAAAATTAAGCAAGTAACTATCATTTGTATTAAATAGTGCTATGCCAAACGTACACAAGTTTTTCATATAAAAAATGAGATAAAAACTGCATTTTTTGCAAGTTTTTAGAACCATACAATAAAGCTATATTGTTTTGAATATATAGTACTCTGCAATAATAGGCTCTGTGTCTATTGCACTTGGGAACCTTCATAGCAGGCAAGAAGCTGAACAGATTTCTGTGTCCTGCCCAACTAATACCATAAGATTTTCTCAGGACCTCTGTCTGAAATAGAGTCTAGGCAATAATCTACAAAGACGGTTTGTAACGGTTTAAACCAATTACTTGAATGCATCCTTGGCTGCCTGAACTGCTTTGTCAACATCAGCTTTCCCAGCCTGTTGTATATCAGCAATCACTTGTTCATTTGATGGGTTAATAGTGGGGAAGGTTTTGCCATCTTCAGATTTAACCCATTCATTGTTAATAAATAGCTGTGAACAAAAAAGAAATAAGTATTCAAATAAGCATGTTACATGTGTTGTATGTAATAATATATTATCTTATCAAAATAAGAGGTGATAAACACACATGTAACTAACATTTTGCAATAATCAATCCTTTTTAGACCTACCTACTAGTCAATGCCTAATAGAAAATATTTATATCTACATTATACAAAGGATAGGATTTTTTTATAGACAATAGTTAGCTATTGCTTCTAAGTAAGCTTTTGAATGTACATTAATTGCATTTTAAATTATATAGCATAAGCAAGTTAGTTGCTAGTAATAAATTATTAGCAAGAACGGTAACAAGAATTTTTAGACACATAAATATAGGTATATAAGTATACCCGAGCTTGATAAAAGCGATAAACTTTAAGTTTGAATAAATTTAGGTATCCTATTGAACAGACAATAAGTATATTAAAGAAGTAGATTCTATTGAATAGATAAATAGCTTTAATTCAAAAAGTACGAATATAAAAGATGTAAAATTAAGTAAGAAATTGTAAAAATCAATTTAAAAATTGGAAAAAAGAGTTAATTACGAATTATTACGTTACTACCTATATAAATAATAAAATAACTCACCCCGGTGTACAAAATATCTGGGCTTGTTTGCGGCGCCGGCGCAGCAGCTGTCGCAAACTGCGCCTTTTGGAATTTAACAGCCTTGCTTATATTACGAATCATGTTTCATAAATTTAAAATACGTAAATATAATTTTCTGGTGCGCGCACGGCTTAACAAATGATTATAAAATATTTTGTGAACAATTACAACTATAAATTGTAATTTGCGCCTATTTATGTCTGCACCAATACGCACTATGTAGGTATGTATGGAGTTTCGGTAACTGACATAAGTCAAACCTTTGATAATTCATGTCAGCTGACAATATTATGAAATGTATTGTTTTGAGCCAAATATGCTATAGAGGTTACTGGTTTTGAGTAAGTATTCGAAGTCCTTCTAAAAATGTATTGTATCTATAATACATTCGCCAATATCTTGGCCATCGTGTAGAGCCGCCATTAGACTGCCGCCATTATCTGTGGTCATTGTTTATCTGTAAAGCACCAAAAATGTGAATTTATTTACATTGCTATTGTTTTAATTACGAAAATCAAATGCATACATACTTATCATTTAGTAACTTTAGGAAATATGAATCTTTGTGTTGATATTTACTCTCTTTAATGATAATTCAAAAATGTCCTGTAATTATGCTGAAGGACTATCGCCATACAAAGACAAGGGTGTTCTTGGAGTTCCAGAGGTAAATTAAGGATATTTACTTAGTGTTCCTAAAAGCTGCATAATTATTTACTAAACTTATTATAGTTATTTTAATGTATCTCAATTACTTATAAAACAATATTATTTCAGAAATTTGACTCGTCTGAAAAACTAAATGAGAAATGTCTAATTCTGGCTAATTTGATAAAAGAAAGTAAGCATGTTGTAGTTCATACTGGAGCTGGAATAAGCACATCTGCCGGGATCCCTGATTTTCGGTAATGCGTTTTTTTATCAATCTACTTTAGATGCCTGTATGTTTAATATTCTGTAAGTTTCCTAATGTATAAATGATTTTTATATTGCCCTTAATTGTTGATTATACTTTTGATATACAAGATATGCCTATGTCAAGAGATTGGTCTGCAGAGTAAGGTCAATTGGCCCTCTAGATTAAATTGAAAAACAATTTGTCATTATTTACAGAATAATATGGCTGCTTTTTAAAACAATAATAATTTAAACTATAATTCAAAATAATAATATTTTATTATTCTAAACAACATTAAGCTTCTATCTAAACTGAACTAACATTTCTATCTACATTTTAAGGGGTCCCAATGGAGTGTGGACTTTGGAAAAGAAAGGAAAGAAACCAAACGTAAATGTATCATTTGCTGAAGCCAAACCAACAAAAACTCATATGATATTAAAAAAATTAATTGAGTGTAAGAAAATTCAATATGTAGTAAGCCAAAATATTGATGGCTTACATTTGAAATCTGGTCTGCCTAGGAAGTACTTAGCTGAACTGCATGGAAACATGTTTGTAGATGAGTGTAATCTGTGTAAAAGGTAAGATTTTTTTTTATAAGACTAGAAAAGTCTAGTACATAATGTAGTCTGGTTAATATAATTTGTCTCTATTGTGCAATGAAATGTAATTATAAACTTAATATAAACTTTATAGTAATTAATGATAATTATTTTTTATGATATATTTAATAAAAAAATAAAGTTTCATTGTAATATTTAATATTTAAACAACATTATAAGATAAGAGAAGATTTTAGGACCCAATATGTTCATAATATCTTTTAAGGTACCATTGCACCATCTATTTATATCTTTGCCTTACCCCTTATTATATAGGCAATTTGTGCGACACACTCCTGTAGAAACAGTTGGCAAGAAATGTAGTGGAATACCATGTGGCGCTGGTCATGCAGGAGGCAGGCCATGCCGTGGGCGGCTCCATGATGCTGTACTAGATTGGGAGCATAGCCTGCCTGAGAATGACCTTATAGCGGCCGAGTTACATTCCAGGTGTGATGAATTAAGTATAGAGAATTGTACTGTGATAGTCATTCATAAAATGGTTGTTCAATGTTTTTGTCTTATTCTAGAAGTATATTGCTTATAAATGAAAATTAAAATAGTTAGTAAAAGAAAAAAATCTGTTATAATTGTTAAGATGCTTTGTCACTTGTTAACTGTGAGTTGTTTTCACAGTAAAAGGCTTAAACTAGTTTTAATAATAATAAAAAAGTTTCACTGAAACGTCATTAAATAAATATTTCAAACTATCATGACTTAAGATAACAAATAACTACAAAGCATTATATCTTATATTCCAGTGTTGCTGATCTTAGCATATGTCTGGGAACTACTTTACAAATTGTCCCCAGTGGTAAGTTGCCATTGGAGACTGTTAAGTATGGAGGAAAATTGGTCATTTGCAACTTGCAGCCAACTAAACATGTAAGTAACATATTGCAATAAACAGCTTTGCTGATTCAACTAGAAAGGGGTTTTTAGCAAAGAAGAGAAGGCAATTATTTTAATTCTTTACTAAAAACATATGACATATACTAAACAAAATTGAAAATAATTACTATTATTTAACAAACTAAATACTCATTTAATTTCAGGACAACAAAGCAGATTTAGTCATCAATTATTATGTTGATGAGACACTAGAAAACATTATGAAAATACTAAACCTAGAGATACCCTCATACAATGAAGATGACAATTGCATAAAACTAGCAGAACATTCCATAATTGATTGGACCATCTCCAGGAAGGATATTTTGGCACTGGAAAAGATCTACAAAGCCAAATGTAAAGGGGTGAAGAAAAAACGCATTTTGATTAAGAATAAGGAGGACAGAACTGATAATGCTAAGATAATTAAGTTAGAGGTTAAGAATGAGATCAAAACTGAGATAACTTGCTAATTAATGATGACTAGGTATTTAATGATTTGATAAGGTTAAAAGTGATTACTAATTCAACTCATGACACAAATTTCATATCATTAATTGATATCGAGAAAGAATTTACAAAAATTACGTTTTTCTTTTTTTGACAAAACCCCAAATGTAACAGTAATAGCACATTTCTATTCCAAGCTGTCTGTAATTTTTAACAATTACGTGCAGTAAAGTAATATATTGCAAGCAACACTTAAATTGCATTTCTAAAAGATTGAAAACAATAACGTCTATATTAAAGATAGCAAAAGCTTTTTTATTTTTTTTAATATATTTTAGTTAATTATGCTAGGCACTAATAAATGACATGTTTTGCGGTTGGTTGTGGTTTAAATCAGCATGTGTCAATCTTATTAAATTTGAAATGCTGGTAAAAATTACCTGTGTAATGTATTGATCTAATAAAAAAATATTGATTCCTAATCTCAATGATTAAAGAAGTAATGTATATAAAATAGCTTTATTTTTAGTAATGTCATTTTATCCCTTTGGTCTCGATATAATTAATTACTTACAGTATATCACAAGTCTTAGAGGTAAAGTTTAAGGAATGTCTATAATTCATATGGCTTTTTGATATTAGAACATAACCTTTTACTTAAGTGCTTATGTCCCTAATTTGTTTTCGTAGGTACAAATTACCTAGATTACCAAATGTTATAAAACAAAGCGTGTCACTTGAAAAGCTGCTATGGAGACTAGAGGTAGAACCAGATTATCCACCTGGTCAGTCGTGGCCTCCACTAGACTGGTGACGGTGGCTACAAAAGCGGTTCGAACAAGCGTGTTCTTCGCGTCTATCAACTCTGAAAAGAAACGAGTTTGATACATTAGTGACGCAGACGAGAATCGAACTCTAAACACGCGCCGTACGATGACGAAGCATACCAAATATGTTCTTGTTTTGTTTACTTGTCGAGCCTAGAACGATTAACAAGTCAAAAGGGTTATTTTAAAGTAGGGTTTTTTTTTTCTGGCCCCTATGTAAGCTTAAATGTTTAAGACTTCGCAATGGATTTTGATGCGTTTTTTAAATATATAGAGTGATTCTAGGGGAAAGTTTTTATATGCAACGTTCGTAGTTTTTCTGTAGTATATTTAGTATCAGCATTGCTTCCGAGTGAAGCCAGGGCGGGTCGCTAGTTGGAAGAATAAATTAAACTTACCAAAAATAATAAGAGTGTAAACGGTTCCAATTTGAGATAAAATATTAAAAGCTGTTCCTTCCATGGTTCTGTTACTATCTAAAATAAAAAGACTTCGTAAAACTATCGTGATTTAAAAAAAACAGTAGGGTTTTTCACATGTTTGGCTATCATGAAATAAAATATTGTCTTGAAATTTGTTTAAAACATTTGTCAGGTGTCATTGATCAATACGCACCTGACCATTTATTGAATCCAAACCGGGAACCGAACCAACTAGCTGCCGTATCTCCAATGCCTATAGACAACACTCCACTCAATAATTCTAGAGTATGGTCAGCGTCATATGATGGAACTAATATTAAGGGACACGCAAGTCCTGCGTACAAATATAACGGTGTCATTGCAAATGTGCCGCAATCCTAAAAAAAAAATTAGATTCAGCAAAAAGGCCAACATCACGCAGTGTTCCCAGGCGGTCACCCATCCAAGTACTGACTGCGCCCGACGTTGCTTAACTTCGGTGATCGGACGAGAACCGGTGTATTCATTTGGCGAGTGAATGTATTGAAAATATTAAGACTTCCACTTATACTTAAAAATATTATAAATAATCGTAATGTTTCCACAAGTACCATAATAGTCAACTATAATTTGATCTGACTTGTTACCTTCTCATCACTATATGTAAGGAAAGCAGCCTGAAGCATTGACGACGCCGGTTCTATGTTGCTTTTTCTTACAGCCTGGAACACAGATAAATAATTCATAATATATAATTACATAGTATACACACTTTATGTAAATTCAAATAAGGTTTAAGGCATGCGCTTTTATAAGGACTAAGCACAACATCTTTTGTAATCCATGGTATCTAGATGTAAAAAATGAAAGCCCTATCATACTCGCGTTCTTTGTAACTTTGAAACATATGTAAACAAAAAAAAAAAAAAAAAAAAAAAAAAAAAAAAAAAAAAAAGGGAAAAAGGGAAAAAGAAAAAGAAAAAAGGGGAAAAGGGAAAAAGGGGGGGGGGGGGGGGGGGGGGGGGGGGGGGGGGGAAAAAAAAAAAAAAAAAAAAAAAAAAAAAAAAAAAAAAAAAAAAAAAAAAGGGGGGAAGGGAGGGGGGGGGGGGGGGGGAAAAAAAAAAAAAGGGAGGGGGGGGGGAAAAAAAAAAAAAAGGGGGGGGGGGGGGGGGGGGGAAAAAAGGGGGGGGGGGGGGGGGGGGGAAAAAAAAAAAAAAAAAAAAGGGGGGGGGGGGGGGGGAAAAAAAAAAAAAAAAAAAAAAAAAAAAAAAAAAAAAAAAAAAAAAAAAAGGGGGGGGGGGGGGGGGGGGGAAAAAAAAAAAAAAAAAAAAACCCCCCCCCCCAAAAGGGGGGGGGAAAAAAAAAAAAACCCCCCCCCCCCCCCCCCACCAACCAAAAGGGAAGGGGGGAAGAAGGGGGAAAAAAAAAAAAGGGGGGGGGGGGGGGGGGGGGGGGGGGAAAGGGGAAAAAAAAAAAAAAAAAAAAAATTTAAAAAAAAAAGGGGGGGAGGGGGGAAAGGGGGGGGGGGGGGGGGGGGAAAAAAATTTCCCCCCCCCCAAAAAAAAAAAAAAAACCCCGAAAAGGGGGCAAAAGGGAAACCCCCCCCCCCCCCCAAAATGGGGGGGGGGGGGGGGGGGGGGGGGAGGGGGGAAAAAAAAAAAAAAAAAGGGGGGGGGGGGGGGAAAAAAAAAAAAAAAAAAAAAAAAAAAAAAAAAAAAAAAAAAGGGAAAAAAAAAAAAAGGGGGAAAAAGGGAAAGGGGGGGGGGGGGGGGGGGGGGGGGGGGGGGGGGGGGGCCCGGCCGGCGGGGGGGGGGGGGGGGGGGGGTTTTTTTTCCCCCCTTCGGCCCCCCTCCCCCCCCCCCCCCCCCCCCCCCCCCCCCTTCTTTTGGGGGGGGGGGGGCCCCCCCCACCCATTTTATGGGGGGGGGGCCCCCCCCAAAAAAAAAAAAAAAAGGGGGGGGGGGGGGGGGGGGGGGGGCCCCAACACCCCCCAAAAAAAACCCCCCGGGGGGGGGGTAAAGGGGGGGGGGGGGGGGGGGGGGGGGGTGGGGGGGGGGGGGTTTTAATTTAAAGGGGGGAAGGGGGGGGGGGGGAAAAAAGGGGGGGTTTTAATTTTGGTTTGGGGGGGGGGGGGGGGGGGGGGGGGGGGGGGGGGGGAGGGGAAAAAAAAAAAAGGGAATTAAAAAATAAGGGGGGGTTATTGGGGGGGGGGGGGGGGGGGGGGGGGATTTGGGGGGGTGGGATGGGGGCCAACAAATATGTACATATTTATTATATAAGATTAATTTACATAATGTTGAAAATATAATATAATATTCATTCAATTTCAATTATGTTACATTATGGAAGACCATAAAAAGACCTTACTTCTACAAAAATAATAGCCCCAAGACCAACTCCAGCGGCCAAAAGCATTAGTTGCACGTCATATAAAATCCCTGACAAGAAAACCAAGGAGGCGAGGACGTGGAAGGTTTTCCTGGTGACCGTAGTTGCTTTAACGGCTAACTTTGTGCGTACTGACAAAGCACAGATTGATAAGGCAACAAGAATCAACCAGAACGCAATGATTTCTTTCTGAAAGGAGGAAATTAAAAAATATTTATTATAATTCGTCCTTTTAGTATATATATTACAAATATTCCGTTTGTTCCTATGAAAGCACGATCCACATCGCAAGGCAAGTAAAATAATTCATGTGATTTAAAAAAAACACGCGTTTGTTAGCCCCCAAAAAAAAAAAAAAAAAAAAAAAAAAAAAAAAAAAAAAATTTAAAAAAAAAAAAAAAATTTAAAAAAAAAAAAAAAAAAAAAAAAAAAAAGGGGGGGGAGGTTTTTTTTTTTAAAAAAAAAAAAATAATTTGAATTGAAAAATTTTTTTTGCGTTGGTTAGAGCATTTATCGAGGAAGGCCCTGTCTAGAAAATTATTCATCAAGTCAAACTTCAAGTACCTAAAAAATATTTATTTCAATGTAATTAAAAAACTACCAATATTTTACTATATTAGCAAAAAAAAAGGGGAAAAGACGCGACCGACGCCGTGGGTGGCAAAAAAGAATTCATAAATTCTACGCGGGCGAAGTCGCTGACATGTATGCAGCATTTTAGTATTCAATGTTTTTGTAATTACTACTCCTAATCAGTATGCGCATCTTATATAATTTAAACTTTATCTTTAAAAATATTACAAGGATGAAATATTATAAATTTGATGACTATTTTCAGCTGAGTACTCGCCAACGTCCATACCACGTTGAATACACCGGTTCTCGTCCGATCACCGAAGTTAAGCAACGTCGGGCGCAGTCAGTACTTGGATGGGTGACCGCCTGGGAACACTGCGTGATGTTGGCCTTTTTGCTTTTTTAGGTTTACCTATGTATGTATTATTAACTGATATATAGAATTCGATGTTAATGTGTGAACTTTGCTCTTACTCTGTATCCTACGAAGAAAATAAATGATATTGCTTGTTCCATAAAGTCCATTCCAATCACAAAATGAAGAGTAACTAGCACAAACGTTGCTCCAGTAGAGACAATTAATATCAATGATCTCATATTTCGAAGTATGTTATTGAGGAAATACATTAATACATTCATGAAAGCGACTGCAACTAAAACTGTCTGAAAAAGACAAACAAACAAAGGTAAATAATAAAGAATGCCAACATTAAACTAAATATACCGATTTAAGCCCTACAAATAATTTAAATGATTCATGGACATTTGTTATATCTAGTAAGATAAATCTATTTATAATAAAAAGTCTTTTGTAAAAACAATTACAAGCCCCAAGTATTAGTTAGAATGGGCTAATATAATATACATAATATTTTCTAAACTCACATTAGGTATTCACATATTACAGCTTACATAAGAAAAAGTATTCCAAATTACGTTAGTGTCTTTTAGCACAGCCTGATAAATTTTTCTTTAACTTTTTATTTTTACTTTAATGATATTAGTTTCTAAATTATTTTTTGATCATTGCGTTTTGATCTTTTAATTATAGCTATGCACATAAGCGTGCCCTTAGAAGATAAGTACATAGTTGTTATGGACATCAGCTATGGTTCGGTTTTCTTTCTATTATAATATATCTTTATATACTTACTAAAGTAACAACATGTATAAAGAATGTTTCATTATCTTTTCTTGGCAATTCTAATATCCAGTTCAAAAGTAATGTGGCTACAAATAATATGACACTTTGGTTGACAACAACAGCCTCTCCTATTGTGAATGTTTTAGGTAGATGCATAAGGGAATGTCTTAAAAGCCACACAAAAGATAGGACTGTTGATAGTGAAATAATAAATGAAAATAATAAGCCTGTAACAAAAATAGTATATAAATACTGTAAAAAAGATTAATTACCTACACATAAGTATACAAAAATAAACATATTTTAAGATAATTGACAACATTGCATTATTAAAATTGTCTTATGATTTGTTATATAAGTATAATATTTGGGTGATTAAAGAAAAAATCATTTTAGTAAATATGTATGCATGTTTAATATATTATAAGTATATGTAGAACTATATCATAGAATAAGTTCTATTTTTTTTTGTAACAGTAACTAGCCACTGACAAAATTGCAAAACTTTGTTTGCACTCAGGTTTATTTTTAAGTAAGAGAGTGATAAGCCTACCTTGGTTTAAGGCACCATATATGAACAGTGTTGATATAAGACTTGAAGCAAGACATCCTCCATACACAGGCTCTTTTACAACCAGGCTAGACAAGGATAGGAAAAGCACAAACAGTGAACAGTACATCAACAGCCCCAGAGAGAGAAATGTATTGAACTTATAGAGTAATGTAACCTTATCTAGCACACAGTACATTAATAGTACTAACGGTATCAGAAACTGACACCATAACCCATTGCTTTTGGATGGTCTGAAAAAAAAAACTTAAATGTTTTTAATTTGTTGAGGATTTAATATTATTTTAAAATAAGAAGGGGGTTATTATTTTTATAAATCATGGGATTAATGCTGAGGGTTATTTTACAGTAAAAAAATATATAAAAGGGCACTAACCTTAGTTGTATGCCTCCCTCTTGAATATGCAATGTTATGTTCTTATCAAGAGGTGCTATCAAAGTCCGATGTTGGTTAGTAAGTTTTTCACTAAATATTTTCAAATTATCAAACATTGCGTATTAGAAAAACTGAGTCGTTGTGGTAGCTATTTTTTTAAATAATATTAAGACCATTTATATGATTCAAATGTAAGCATATAATAGCTCGCCCTTATTCAATTAATTCTTATCAAAAGAAAATATTATCAACTCAATAGGTACAAAGCTCGTTAAGATTTGTTTTTGTTTTGAAAGTGAAACTTTATCTGACAGTTGTCAATTGGGTGGTGCTAATTTTATATTAATTGTAACTAAAAACAATAAGAAAATTTAGTTAATAAGAAAGTTAAGTAAAATTAAGACAATTTTATTTATTATTATAGAACTTAATTAATGGTGATGGGATGTCCATACTAAAGATCATTCTACAGAGAATATGCTGAAGATTACGTTATTGACGTTTATAGTGTAACTGTAGTCTGTAGCAGTCAACAGTCTACATTACATTGGTTGTTGACGGCGGCGTTTGTGAAACAATTATATTTTATATATAAAAGAGCAAATAAGTAATAAATAATATCAATTTGTTTATAAGTGTTTTTTTAATTTTAAGCTAGCAAAAAGCTTATTGCGCCAAAGAAGCAAAATGAATCGCCGTAGACCTCACGAAGAAGAAGATGGATACGGTAGTGCCACGGATTTATAATATTCTTGGTTAGAAAATAACTATTTTTATGTGTTTAATAATAATGTCTTTCAGAACGCCTGCACAGGAAACGCCGCCGCGTTTCGGAAAACCAAGAAATTGAAGACAGATTAGAGTCACTCATACTTCGAGTAGGTGAAAAAAGTAGTTCCAGCTTGGAAAGTAATCTTGAAGGTTTGGCGAGCGTCTTAGAAGCAGATTTGAGCACATTTCGTGTTAAAATATTGCGTATTTTGACAGAATGCGCAATACGGATGCCTGAGAAATGTACCATCTATGCAACGCTGGTTGGTCTTCTTAATGCGAAAAACTACAATTTTGGAGGAGAATTTGTTGATTATATCGTGAAAACATTTAAGGAAAACCTAAAGTGTGGAAAATGGAATGCTGCAAGATACTGTTTGAGATTCATATCTGATTTAGTAAACTGTCATGTATTGGCTGCATCATCCCTTTTGACCTTGTTAGAAACCTTAGTGGATTGTGCCAATGAGGACTCTGTCCCTCAAGTACGGCGGGATTGGTTTGTCTTTGCTGTTTTGGCGACCTTACCTTGGGTAGGGAGAGAATTGTATGAGAAAAAGGAATCTCAACTAGATCACTTATTGGTAACAATTGAAGTGTTTCTTAACAAACGCAGTAAAAAGCACTGGCCGGCTCTCAAAGTGTGGTCAGTGGACACGCCACATCTTCAAGAAGAGTATTTAGAATGTTTGTGGTCACAAATTAAGAAATTGAGACAGGATAATTGGTCAGAGAAGCACATACCAAGGCCATATTTGGCTTTTGATTCAATTTTGTGTGAAGCTTTACAACACACACTACCGGCTATACAGGTACCTACTTTAGTTATATAAAAATATGTAAGCTGGTTGTATATGTATGTAATTTTTAACGTCAAACTGCATAATTCATAGTACCTATATAGGAAACATCAATGGTACACCACAAAATATCTGTCACCAGTTAAAGCTGCACAATTACCGAAGGTTTCGTAGTCACTTTTGTAATCTGTATTGCTCTTAGGGCTCCAGCCTCTTCATACAAGTGATATTACTTATATTAGTCCATGATGGGATTCAATATAAATTTATAAATTTTTGGGTATACAAATATGAAGTAGGTATTACAAGGGACTTATTATTTAGTTTTGGTGACATCAACTGCAGGCTATGTTACCAGTTTTAATACTTTGTTGGCCATTTCACACATACTAGGGACTTAAGAATCCCTCAATTAGATTTAACTCTTAAATAGGTCTTAATATGTTTCAGCCACCACCCCACAATGATGGAGACACGTATCCAATGCCTCGAGTTGTATTTAGAATGTTTGATTACACCGACTGCCCTGATGGTCCTGTGCTTCCTGGTGCTCATTCCATTGAAAGATTTCTTATTGAAGAACACTTACATAATATTATTGAAGCTTATCACCTAGAAAGAAAGGAGTGTGCAGCCCAGCTCCTCTGCTTTCCATACAAAAATAAAATTCCTCTTGAGTATTGTATTGTTGAAGTTATATTTGCGGAGTTATTTAACTTACCAAGACCTAGATATTTAGAAATCTGTTATGGGTCTATTCTAATAGAGTTATGTAAACTTCAGCCTGCGACAATGCCCCAGGTTTTGGCTCAGGCCACTGAGATCTTGTTTATGAGGATTGATAGCATGAATGTCGCGTGTTTTGATAGGTATGTATACTTGTATTATCACTTATAATGTTCCTTTTAATTAATTTAATAATATTGTTAACAATGAATCTGATATTAACTTCCTTTGTCAAGAAAGGAAAATATTTTTAAGAAAAGTCATGTGTTCCTTACATTTCCTTTGGCGGGGGTAGATAAATGCCTGCTCAGACTCATAGAACTTTGTCACTTTTTAATAGAATTAAATACTCTTCATTTTATATTGTTGTTTGTTATAAAGGTTTTTATATAAAAAATTTCAGGTTAGTGAATTGGTTTTCATACCATTTGAGTAACTTTCAATACAGATGGTCATGGGAAGATTGGGAAGGATGTGCTCAACTTGATTTAGATCATCCAAAGCCAAGATTTATTAGAGAAGTACTCAGTAAATGTCAAAGGTAAAAACATTTAAACAAAACACTTTAACGGTTTAAAACGCGATATATTAGTTAAACTTATTTGAAAATGATTTTTAACTTCGGCCCGACGTTTCGGATGCTTTGCAGCAGCCGTGGTCACGGGGAGACTGACCCGTTTCGAGTTTTAAACCGTTAAAGCGTTTTATTTGAAGGTGTACTACTGGCGTAAACTATAGACAGTAATAATTATTTACTTATTGTTTTATTGGCAGGCTATCATACCACCAAAGAATCAAGGATATGGTACCAGAAACATTAGCGGCGTTTGTCCCTCTCAAACCAGAACCAATATATAAGTACTCCATGGAAGGCGCAGGTGAGATAAAATGGCTGTTACAATTAAAATAATTTAATCCACAATACATATTTATGACTTACTCTTAACTTAACTTCAAAATATTTACAAGTACCCTTAAATAATCAGTTTTACAAATGATTCTAACTGAGATTTAAATGCTCTTCATTGTTTGTATTTTACTGAATATATTGTTTTGTTATGCTTTAAAGTTTGTCTTAACTATTGTGTCATTCAGTCTATTCCATCGCCATTAACTCTAGGAAACTGTATGGACGTCCTAAATCATAGCTCTCGTAACGTGAATCCCTACTAGATTCCTTTTCTTCACCGTCTTCTAATTGAGAAGGTTCATCACCTTCATCATCGCCTGATTCCTCATCACTGCGTTGGTCGTCATCGTCTTCATCATCATCATCATTATTGTCATCGTCTTCGTCGCCTTCTTCATAATCCTCTTCGGACGAAGGATCTGGTCGCTTGTGTTTCTTATTAAATTCAGCCATAAAATCAGTAAGATCATCATCTGCTCTTAAAAAACTAGCATGATGCGAACTTCCTACTTCCAATAATTCTTGCTGTGACATGTCTTTTGGGGTACTAGATTCAGAATTAAGATTGAAACCGAAAAGTTGTTCAAATATATCATCTGTAGAGTCTTCGGTAGTACTTTTAGGAGTTGATTGTTCAGTAGAACTTTCTGGTACTTCAATGGTTGCATTCAACCTCTTTTTTTTACATTTGGTTTTATTCTTTGGAGAATCGAACTGCGGTGGTATAATTTCTGTAGTCGTTGCATCTAGACCAATCACTTCGTTACTGTTATAGTTTGTCGCAGTGGAATGGTCAAAGATGTATTCTGAATGGTCACGCGTCTCTTCTTCGTCATTTTCTGTTTCATTCTCATTGTTTGTGTCGGATGGTAATATTCTATTGTTTTCTAGTTTCTCAACCGACTTATTGATAACTGTCTTCTCTGTTGTACTAGTGCCTTCTGTAGCCACAGTGCTACTTGTTATGGGTTCTGTAACTTTCTGAGAACTAAATGGTGTCGTAGATGTGACATATCCCTGGAAATTTGATGTTCTCCTGTAGTTCTTCTCGGGTTGTGAAGTACCATTGTTTCTGAAAGACCACTTATCGTGTTTAACAGACGTTCCCTTGTAGAACAAAGTGGATTGTCTAAAACGGTTCCTACTTCGCGGCAGACTTGTTGTGGACACTGTTACATCGGATTTCGGTGTGGTCGGTGTTTCTCTTGGAAGGAAAGTTGTTGTTGAGTGCAATGGTGTGGTGCTTACTTGTTTTATCGTTGTGCTAACTGTTTTCGTTGTTGTCGGGCGTACGGTTGATGTACTAGTTGTAGTTGTAGTTGAAGATGTCGCATGCGTTTTGTTGTTCTTGGCGTCCCAGAATGATTTATATATACCTCTTGCAGTAGTGCTAGCGCTAGATGGAGGATCTGTGGACGGTTTTCTTACTATGGATCTATCCGGTACATCAAACGTTGGAGGTGTCGTTATTCTTTTGTGTTTTTTAAATTTATCTTGTTTCGTGAACTTTGGTGGAGGACGGGTTCGTTTCTTTGGTCTGAGTGTAGTGCTTGTTGTTATACGGTTAGTATAAGTGGTCGTTGTTGTCGACTCTGTAGTGGCCTCTGAAATATCTTTTGGTTTCTTGGGTGTTGTCGCGGCAACCGTGGTGCTATTATCCAAGAAACTGGTTGTGGTTTCTATAGGGACCAGTTTCTCAGTTGGCAGTACCATTGGTGTAGTTTTGGTGAAAGCCGAAAGCACATTTGCCCAATTCAACTCCTCGAGCTCATCTTCTACGTTGCTTTGTGCAGTTATTATATCTGGAACAGGCGTGGTTACTCTATTAGATTTTATATTTTGATGCTTTTTTGACGGCTTCTTATTCGTCGTTTTTCGTTGTTTATTATTACCCTTTTTCACATGTGTCAGTTCGATTCTCTCGGTAGTGCTAATATCTGCGTAGTTGACAGTTATAGGTCTAAACGCCGTCTCAAACAACGGATCCGAGCCAGGAGATTGCGAGTCATGAACTTGCGGACTTGGCCTGAAGTCAACTGGCTTGTTGACCCTATGAGGCTTGGCGTTATGAACGAGCTTCAGCGGAGGCATCGGTTTGAAAGGCTTTTTGTCCATAGTGACAAACACGCCAGGCGGAGCGTTATATACCGGCGGACGTATGTGTTCCGGGAAATGACCTTTAAGCGACGTGGGCTTCATTTTCGTAGGATTCTTATGAACAACGTTCATTTCTGTAAATCTAGTTATGTTCTCTGAATTCTCCGCGCTCTCAATAAGCATCGGACTACCCAAATCAAAGATTTGATCTTTTTGAGGTGGCGTTATCGGAAGCGGTGTAGGCAGGACAGCTGGTCTCGTAGTCTTGACTGTTTGCGTTGGAGAAACTCGAGAATCATGAGGTGAATATGGATTTCCGTTTATTATAGGACTCGAATCATAATCAAGGTAATGATGCTGGAGGGGACCGGCAGGAGGAGCTTGTAGAGGTGGTCGAACATACTTATAGGGCTGTGATTGTTTGTATGGATATGCTATCGGTTTTTTCTGGCCATGATAATCAAAAGAAGGTCCGGCGTGACCAATCTTTGAATATTGATATGGTCCGGAGTTGCTTCTATACTTAGGTTGAGGTTGGTCATAACTGGTATCGTCATCGTCGGAAAATATTGATGAAAATATTCTATCCAAGCCTCTATATGGCGGACGCCTTGTGTGCGGCGGGATAGGAACTATGTTTTTGTGAAACCAGATAGCTCTATGCGGCCTCGCAGCTTGGAATTGAGGTACATCATATTTTCTATTCTCTTGTGGGAGTTCAATCTTTCGATCTGGCGATGTTTCACGTACCGTGAACGTTCTTATGGGATTCTCGTAAGGTTTTTTTTGCTTTTTTGGTATTTGAGATACGACCGAGAAAGTTAACTCGTAGTGGTATTTTCCGGGAGACGTTTCCTGGTCCCTTTGTCTCACACGCTTCACTGACCAGAAAGCTTTTACACCTTCGGCGCACCTCTCGTTATTGCAATTATCTTGGGTCCTATTGTCCTCTGTGAAACGAAAGCCCGATTCGTTTTCTAGTAGCCTGCCTTTTGCCATAATAGCTACGTCCCCCATGGAATTGACTTCATCAGATTGCAACCTTTCAAACGGAGCTTTTTTAATTTTCTCCCATAGGTCGTGGTCATCTACTTCCTTCGATACGGTTTGATCCAACTTGCTATTGGGTGAGATGACGTCGCCTTGCGCGATGAGTGCGTCTATTTTGTCCCTCACTAGAGTAAGATAGACGCTGTGTCTCAAAGCATCCTCCCAGTAGTGGGCCGGGACGGCTGCTACGGAGGGCGGTGACTCCGTCTTGATAACTTCGTGTAACGTCCCGGCTGACTCGTCTCGCTTCGTCGGGTGCCATTCGTCCAGCGGTATTGGCGTCGGTCTGAAGTCATCGCCTCGTGTCCCCTTGTGTATCTGGAATGTCGATGAATATTAATTGAATCTGTGGCATAAATCATCCATTAATCGTAATGTTAGCTGGTGGATGCGATATGCGTTTGAAAGTAAAATGCTTATAGTTGGGAAAGTGCGGATAGCGTGCGGGTAGCGTTGCGTGCCATCGCTACCCTCGCAAGTTTCCAATCACAAATTCAAACATAATTATCGTTTTCTGGAATGTATGTTATAGGATATTAACTGAACAATCTATCGTTTGTTTTGCATGTTGATATTATGCAAGTATTATTTAAATTTCAAGCCGACTTTTTCTTTATTTTTTTTTATCAACGTATAAATAAATAAAATAAAAGTTTGTTTTAAAGTTATATAAGTAACTTGCAAGCATATAAAGGTTTCAAGCTTTCAAGCTCTTAAACGATTGGTCAATATAAGTATTCGAGAAAGGCCTAGATGTGTACGCACCGTGATATATCGTAATAATCTAACCGGCGATGCGACGAGATAAATTCTTTACAAGGTTCTTTATGTAACTAATAAATCGCTAATGTACTTTCTATGGGGTCAGATTGTAAGACTTGGTACACTAAAATTTCATTTATAAATTGTAAACAATATCTATAATTGTCAGAGAATATAGTCAAAATAAAATAGTTTTATGGTTACTAACTTTTATAAACTCTATTTAGACAGTATTAAATACTAAGGGCCCCTTTAAATAGTGGCATTCGAAAAAAGCATCAAGATGCAACGGAGATAAGGACATTGCTCCACATATCGTGGGAATCATAAACAATGCTCCATAGAGGTCGCTGCCTTATCTTTTTGCATACGCCATTGAGCATTGCCGTGTGATTTGTTATTACATATTGTTTTTTATCTGTGTCGGGGATGTGATCTATGGTGATAAGTCTATGTCGCAATAATATCAGAGAAATTAACAGGGCTAATGAATTAAGAAAAAAAAATGCGTGACGTTTGTAAATACATTTTTGCTCACGATCCACCGATTGAATTTCTTTTATCAAAACTGCTGGTTAAACTCAAATCCCGGGAAAGGAATAAATTGTTTTAGTGGGCCAGTTGCCTGACATACCACGTGCGCGTAAAAAAAATAAACCAGTAACACGGACACAGAAATGTGTTCGTTCTTTACCCAGCGGGGCTTTTTAAAAGAGCGCAGCCAGTTTTCAAATCATCTCAGACCAAAAAAGGTAATAGCCCTAAAATAAAAGCATATTTCAACACAAACAACAAAATGTACAATAAAAAGCACTAATTTCGTTTTGATTAGAACATATGTATTCGAATAACAAGCAAGAGGCGACGGTTGTTATTCGAATACATAATGTTCTATACATTATGACTTTCAATTAATGTGTCTGAAACCTGTGTCGCGTGTGTAAAGGAGGCAAGTAAAAATAATATATTTTCGTGTTATTTTTAAGTAATCGATTCTTATTCTATAAAGATTAATTAGTATCAATTAAAGCGACTTTAGTTGGTTATTTATTATATGATTTGTTACGGTTTTCTATGGTTTACAAAATGAAAAAAAGATTAATAGAGTGTATTGTACCTTACTATATAAAATTATGTTATGTATTTAAAAAATATAATTCCGTAAATATAACATTGATGCATGAGAAAATTGCATAATAAATTTCCCCGCAAAATATGTGTGGAAAGCGCGAAAATAGTTCATCGTACTCACAATTAGTGTAAAGAGAACGCAAAGTAACGCGGATCGCATCTTTGATCACTGATTCACTGCACGATCGGTTTCGGTATGTTGCCACCACTGATTAATCTGATTAATTGTATAATCTGTGAACGCGTGCGGCGCGGTAGCACCCAGCAGCGCGGACTGTCGGGTGTAGCTATACAACACCCCCCTACGACACGTTCCCGCGTGTCCAATTGATAATTATGTATTTGCATTTTTAATCTATACTTTTTGTCGCCTTCTACGATTTGCGATGACTGCAACCACCATACTAACTTCAAGGAGTGACCATTTTCTCAAGTAAATATATTTTTATTTTTATTATTTCACTTGTTATAAATTGCATTAAATTATAGTTCAAAGTTTATATAATACGGCCGACGTAACTTGGCAAGTCTCAACAGAGGTTAGACTAACTTTGGCGCATGTACACTCGTAAAGAAAACTAATACTGCCATTTATTTTCGTTACTGGGATAAATGAAAAATTTTACCTATAGCAAGCAAAAGTAACATACCAATAATTTATTCAAAGAGAATAAGGGCTACGAACACTTATCTTTCACAAAAATACAGAGACAAAACAAAAATATTACAAAAGAGAAATAATAATATTAAATTTAACAATAAACAATCGCTTTTCTAACGGACTGCGCTCAAGACATAGATAACGAAATTAACGCCAAGGAGTGACCGAGACATACTACTGTTTACCAAACATTACCGAATATGTACGAAGCTTTACGAACGAACCAAATAGAGATGTCCATACGCGATCCTTGAGAGTGTCGTTTAATCGATTCCTATTAAAATTGAGAAAATTGAATCATAGAAATATAATTGTATAAAAAGCCCTAAATAAGGTATAAATAGTAATTATATAAATAATAACTCATATTTAACTAAATCAGGTAGTTCAATAATGAAAAAAGCTTTTAATGATTTTATTTTCCTTTAAAGGTAATCATGGAATTGTTTATTAACAACACCATTCACTGTGTCCATCAATCCATTTAGTACAATATCTTATACGATTTAAAATCCATAATCTAAATCGATAAAAATCGATTGCAAAATTTGATAGAATAAGCGGTCGATTGTGTTAACATTGAGTCAATCACCAGCCTAGATCTTCGTCCCGCGCTTTTCGCGCTTACCGCCGTTAACATCCAAAAGAACGTTTCTGCGCAGCGTTTCGCGCTTAGATCAGGCTTGCCAAGTTAAGCCGGACGTATTGTAACTGCCTCCATGACTTTGCGTTGCAAGCACTGTACCCAGTGTAAAGTTAACGAAAAACCTTCTATATTTATTTTATTAAAGTAAGCGAGTTTTTGAGACGCAAGGATTTTGAGACGTTTTTTAAATTGTATCCAACTGTTGGGGCAACTACAATCATGTCTATAGCTTACGCGAGTAGAAAATCATTTTCAAATAAGTTTAACTAATATATCGCGTTTTAAACCGTTAAAGTGTTTTATTTAAACTGCAATCATGTGAAGAGAAATCACATTCCTAAACCATATTGAGATGAACACATTTTCTTCACTTGAGTGCCTTAAACGGTGGCAAACTAAAACAATATTGCGACTACTGCACTCATAACACATTAATTTTAAATGTTTTGTCTAGAAATATCTGTAATACTGAGCTATATACGTGTAATATATAATAGACACCACGATTCGAAAATCAAATTAAACCGTTTAAAATTGGTTTGTATCTTCTATGGCACATGTATGATCTACCTATCGCACAATTAAAACTTAGCTGTGTTAGTACAAAAGTATAATTTTACGTTTTTATTTAGAGATTTTGAAATTATACTTTGTTATACAATTTGGACTATTGATACATTTTCTAACTTTCGCCTTACCGCCTACCGATAGATATCCTCATGCTCATATAACAGTGTAAATGAAACTTCTTGCACCTTATTCAAATTGCTGACGAGAGTAACCAAACTTTTTTTCTAGTTTACGCGCGTGCGCACCCAATAGTCATTAAGCTATGTTCCAAGATATAAAATTGTTCCCTTGTATTTCAAAATGGTTGCCTTTGTTCTGTTCTTAAGCAAGACAAATCGTCTAATGCCATCATAATAAGAAAGTGTAAGTGTTAATTATCGTTCTCATATGCTTCGTGCAGAGTATAGGAGCAACGGCTAGTGCCTTCAGTTATGTTATAAGCGTATAATTACTACTTTGTTTAAGCGGCGATTGCTATAGTTAAGCATACAATGGCTGTTGAGACATTTCCGTACAGTGTTCTTAATGGCTTTTTAAATCTTTATAGGAAGATGCGTATTGTATTTACCGTGGCGTACATGATATTTTTAATTGTACTTTGTGTGTTTCATTCTTGGTAAACACTTAAATAAAATCTAGTATTGTAAACAGTATTTTATTAGGAAGTTTGTATAGTTCTTTTTATAGAACATTTTTTTAAATAAATAAACCTTTTCGGACAACAAATAAAAAAATTATTTGCACAAAAAAACAATAAAACATTTATAATCTTAAAAATTTATTCATTATTTGAGTGCCCCATGACATCTTTAATTTTACAAATTGCAATGTTTCTAGAAATCATTCAAATTCATCATTTCAAATTGTTCATCGAAATCATATAAATACCTCGAACACGAATGTATGTCAAATAACATTATTATTTGACATACATTCGTGTTCGAACATCGTTAACAATTAAAACATTTCAAGAATCGCTAAACTCGCTAGATATCTACACCGTCCGCTGAAAACGTCGCGTCGAGTGAAAACCGTCGCGTGCGCACTTTCCATCTCGTGGGCTTTTCGCCGTTTTTTAGACGCGCGCCGACCAACGCGGAACGATAATATTCATAATATTTGTTCAGTGCATCTTCTATTGTAATTTATTGCTAGACCTGTTAATTATTGATTTCATGCTGTCTCGTTTTGTACTTTCGGTCAATGGCCATATGCAGGAAATGAATCCAATACGAATGATTACGTAATTTTCCGCGTTTGCATGTGTCTAAAGTTGTTGAGTAGCTATAGAGTAATTAGTTAAGGAAGCAATATGTTAACAGGGCATCTCAGTTAGTAGAGTTATCCTAACATGATCAAGATGGTTACACACCATTAATGAGCCAATCTAGAATGATAAATATATCGCGTGGTTTTTTACTTTATTGATAACTTTGCCGTAAATATAGATACTTGTGTTATAAAGCTAATGTCGTTTATGGGCGTGTATTTATTTTATTTTTATATTTAAAACAAATGAATATTATACCTTTTGTCAGAGTGTAACCGCATCCGTTCGTGGATCTTGCTTCGCTATCAATCAGTCCGTGTTCTCAAGCAATGTTGTAATATGCAATTACCATTACCTATTGTAACGTCTTATCAGTTTGATCGTTTGCTATGATTTCCATTGAATCGTTAACTATTGTGATATACTTAATGTGATTATCTAGAACAATATTGAATAGTGTTGAACTTAATTTTAAGCTGAACGGATTATCAAATAACTTTGTCTCACTTAGATCGATATACTTTCTCGGATAAAAACATACGGTTTTTTCTTGTGTCTTTAAATAATCTCACGTGGAACAGAGTGTAAAAATGTGAGAAACATCAACAACTTTCTTGTACAGCTTTTAAAAGTACACATTTAAACTTTTATGTTACAAGGGAATTGGTGCACCGGCAAAAATGTATTTTATGTAAGTTGTGAGATGTGAAAATTATAATGATATAAGTACTCTATATAGGTACTTCGTAGTTTATAGATACAACCTAATTTCGGGCTAATGTGAAGACTAGCGTTTTAACAAGCAGCGCTGTTTTACCTTTTATAATATTATTATAATAGTTAAAAATACGGCAAGAATGTGATAAGTTTTTTCTCTAATTCTATATCGATCAAAACCTCGTTGTGCCGATCGTGTTTTAAAGCTATTTTTCTCCTTCCAGCGTCCCTCCCTGGTACCGAAGCAGCTCATCAGCTGGTGGTATGCGTCAGAAACAAATGCACGCCAGAAGAAGCCCTTAACGTATTACGGGAACTCCCGAACCCGTTGCGCGACGGCGACGCTGCGTCTACGCACGCGGCCCCGTACAACCCTCTTAAGATTGACGTCTTCGTACAAACACTGTTGAATTTGGGCAGCAAGAGTATATCGCACAGTTTCGCCGCTATATCCAAGTTTCACTATGTGTTTAAGGTTAGTTATATCATTGGAGGGTTTGGGGTTTCAAGGAACCCGCTCAAACAGGGACTGGAAACAAACATTTAACAATAAAAGGAGTAGCAATGAGTTTCTTGCCAGTTCTTCTCGGTCGTTCTACGCCCTTAATTTGGAAACTGATAGTAAATATAAATTAAAGTTTTTTTAACTTAAATGTTTACTGTATTGGGGGGGGGGGGGGGGGGGGGGGGGGGGGGGGGGGGGGGGGGGGGGGGGGGGGGGGAAAGGGGAGAAAAGGGGGGGGGAGAGGGGGGGGGGGGGGGGGGGGGGGGGGGGGGGGGGGGGGGGGGGGGGGGGGGGGGGGGGGGGGGGGGGGGGGGGGGGGGGGGGGGGGGGGGGGGGGGGGGGGGGGGGGGGGGGGGGGGGGGGAGGGGGGGGAAAAAAAGGGGAAAAAGGGGGAAAAGAGCCCACCCCCCCCCGGGGGGGGGGGGGGGCCCCCGGGAGGGGGGGGGGGGGGGGGGGGGGGGGGGGAGAAAAAAAAAAAAAGGGGGGGGGGGGGGGGGGGGGGGGGGGGGGGGGGGGGGGGGGGGGGGGGGGGGGGGGGGGGGGGGGGGGGGGGGGTCCCCCCCCCCCCCCGCGGGGGGGGCCCCCCCCCGGGGGGGGGGGGGGGGAAAACCCAAGAGGGGGTGGGGGGGGGGGGGGGGGGGGGGAAGGGGGGGGGGGGGGGAGGGGGGGGGGGGGGCCCCCCCCCCCCCCCGGGCCCCGCCCCCCATTTTTGGGTTTTTTTTTTTTTAATTTGGGGAAAAAAAAAAAATAAAAAAAAAATTAAAGAAAAAAATTTTAACCAACCAAAAAACACAAAAAAAAAAAAAAAAAATTTGTTTTTTTAAAAAAATGAAGGGAGGATTGGTGGGACAAAAAAAAAATTATTATTATTATTATTATTATTATTATTGGCATTCATAAGTGTACCTACCTACATGAATAAATGATTTTTGATTAGAGTAGAATATATTTGAAAACTTTATTATTTTTTACATGTTATTGCACGTGAAGGCACTATATAATTTAAAAATCGAAAATAAATTGAAAAAATTTTCGACTCGGGCAGGACTTGAACCGCCATCGTCAGTGTTCAGAACAACAGCACGGCACGCTGACGACGCCGGTTTTGTTTTTTCAATTTATTTGCGATTTTTAAATTATATAGTAGAATATAATATTATTCTTTGCACTAAGAACAGGGAGACAAGTGAGGTCTATCGCAGCGCGAACGCAACTTATCAGCTAACGCCAGTTGTATTCATTATAGATTATCACTTATTGTATGTTGAAATCCAAAAAGTTTGAAGTCAGTATTTGTAAAATTGAGCCTAACCTATGTTTGAAATAAGTTTAACCGACACTTATAAGTTTGTATAATCAACTACGCTTGAACAGATTTTCAATGTACACGCAAAAACCTATCCAAGCGTATTTAGGAATAAATAAGAAACACTTGTTATACGCAAAAGCTGATTTAAATGTTGTTCTAATAATTTAGTATTCATTAGTTATTGAGGAAGAAAACTTTTCGAATAAATTACTTGAATTTATTCGAGTTAATTCGATTAAATTATTAGTTAATACCAACCAAATCCAACATTATTTCAGATTCTAGCGGAGTCTGAGGAAGCCCAGATCTGCGTGCTTCGCAATGTTTGGGAATTGTGGCAACGCCATCCGCAAATGGTTTGCGTACTGGTGGACAAGATGCTCAAGACGCAGATAGTCGAATGCAGCGCCGTGGCCACATGGCTGTTCTCGAAGGAGATGGCGCCGTACTTTACGCACTCTTGTCTCTGGGAAGTACTCCACCTGACCATAGACAAAATGAACAAGCACGTGTCGAAACTCAGTGAGTTTATTGTTACCCCTTTCACGTTCAAGGGCAATGTTTTTCCCTTTTAGAAAAATCGTTATCGATTATTCAATTGTTATTGAAGCAACATGTTTTTAATGAATGTCAAAATAAAACATGAAATTATAGGAAATAATTCTAAGTTGTTCTAGTGATAAATATATACTTTACTGGGGGTAAAGTATATATTTTAAACATTCTGTACCATCTTACGGTCTCGTAAGGGTTGAATCTGACACATAAACTATTATTGATTCTTTCGCTCACAAGTTATTAATATTTATACGCATTGTTTAAGAGTATCGAGTATTAGTTGTATCGAGATCAAAGATCACGATCAAGTAATTAAGTATTAAATTTTGTTTTAGGTAAAGAATTGCAAGAAGCCAGAGAGGCATTAGCACGTGCTGACTCGAGCAGCTCAGACTCAGAAGACGAAAGCGGCAGCAAGAAAAAGAAAGATCAGGATAAACCGACAGAAGAGGTGCTATTGTCTTCTATATTATGTCTTTAGTGAATTTATTTCAGATGTATAATATTTTATAACTTTAATCATTCCATACTATTGACTAGTTATAAACACAATGGTAATACTCTTAAATACGCTAAATCTAATACTCGTTACTGCCAGATCACTTGCATACGTTTGTGTTCGATAATTCGAATATTGCAATATGTATTGCTAGAGTCTCATTAAGAATTTACTTATTAAGAATAGACTTGTAATAATATTCCTATTGTAATGCAGGCGGTGGAGCGCATGGAGGAACGTCTCGAGATGGGCCACACTGACCAGAAGCGGCTCTTCCTCATCGTTTTCCAGCGGTTCATCATGATACTGTCGGAGCATCTGGTGCGAGCTGACACAGACGCTAGAGATCCTCTCACTCATTGGTACACCAGCACTATTGGGCGACTTACGCAAGTGTTTCTGCTGGTCAGTGACTTATACATATTATTTGATATACCTAAATTTTAGTGATTATTGAGTTAGTAAACAAATAATGCAAGCAAAGACATAATCTGGAATATCTGGCTCAGCATTAATAAAGTTTCTCAAAAATACACACATTACTATTCTTTTATCGATCATCAAATAGGTAGTATAGATTTAGATAAAACAGACGAGGGAAAAAGCAAACGTCATAAAAATGCACTTGTTAAAACTTTTTAATTTTTGTCGATATCAAAGGCAAAAACTTCAATAATAGAAATAGAATAAAAAAAACTGGTATAGATTCTTAAGGATGGCGCAATTAAAGTTACTGAGCATATTTTATAGAAATTAATACTTATCATCCTTCTATTCTAGCATCATGAACAAGTCCAGAAGTACAGTAGTACCTTGGAGACGCTCCTCTTCACTCAAGATTTGGACCCTCACATCCTAGACGTGTTCCACCAGTTCCTGGCACTCACAGCGTAAAACCTTTATTCACTGCTATAGACAAGGCTTTGGTTGAATTATAGACGTTGTTCGGTGAACATTGAAGACTGCGTGATATTGATTAGCCTGTTTGGAAGTGTATTATTGAAAATCGTTTGACGTAGTATGTAATGAGGTATAAAATATATTTTTAAAATTTTTTTGTATTTATTTAATCGAAGAACTATATTATTAATATCATTTGTTCTTGGACCTAGTTTGAATATAGTAGACAGTAGAGATGGGCCGAGTACTCGGTTGAAAAACAATTGAGCCGAGTAAAACTCGGTACTCGTTACTCGGCAAAAGTGTTATTCGGCGCCTCTAGTAGACATACATCATACTAAAGCGGATTTATGTGGCTGTTGTATAGCATATGATACTTTCAGACATTTAAAATACAAGCTTTTTAGTCAATAAAATACCAATTTGATAAATTACTCCCCGATACATAAGATGCTTGTAAAACCATGTCAGAATTGATCAAGACATTTTGTCTGTTCAAAGGTGTTTGATCCAATCTTATATAGGTTTCTATTATTCTAAATATATAATAGAATATAAGAAATTATTTAAAGGTTTATTTTCAACTTTTTGTTTAAAATTTAAAGGAATTACATTTTTTGTACATGTGTTGGTTAATATATTTAAAAAATTATGAGTGTTTTTAATGATTTAAAAACATATCAATTTCGTATTTAACTCTAAAACAAAATCCAACGCTTATGATTCGCTTAATTTTCTTATAATAGTTCAGTTTAATTAATAACACTTTAATTGTAACAATCAGTCGTTTATTATTTACTTGCTTAATTATTTCAAGTGGCAGTATTATTATTTCTTATATAGTCTCATTTGAAACGAATAAGATGGGACAGCATTGAGCACTACTTCAAAAACCTCATTAGTTCTTCGACATCCTTTTTGGAGCCGAGGTAGCAAGGCGCTCGCTGATGGATGGATGTAGGCTGGATGTCGAGTATGGGAATTTCCCCGTTCGTTGCAATTCCGCCCGCTTCGTTCACTATGAACGACATGGGGTTGCATTCATATAAGAGGCGAAGCTGAAACAAAATAAATATATGTATATATAGTACACATGAAGTAAATTGTGTAATAACTATTTTTGTATAAAATCAGCAAAAGGCCAACATCACGCGGTGTTCCCAGGCGGTCACCCATCCAAGTACTGACCGCGCCCGACGTTGCTTAACTTCGGTGATCGGACGAGAACCGGTGTATTCAACGTGGTATGGACGTTGGCGAATGCTAAGCCGAAAATAGACAATGGTAACATAATATTTGTCATTTGTTGAAGGGAAATTTACAAAAGTAATCCTATCCTATACCTTGCCATTAGGTGCGGAATTTGTAGCGGGGTACATGAAGATGCCGCCATATTTGATCGTTCTGTGCACATCTGCTACCATCGAGCCCACGTACCGCGCGCCATACGCCTTACCACTTGTTGGATTCTTCTTCTCTTCTATGTAATTCTTTAGACCAATCGCCCATTCCGCTGCGTATCCTGAAATAATGTACAAACTGGTCACGTGAACTATTTATGACCTTTATTTGTCTGCTTGATAGAATGGATTGGATGTTTTGCCTGCATTTTGTTCTTTTGTTGCGACCAGCCAAAACCAGCGCTCCTAATTAGTAAAATTTGCTTCTAACGTCATTATATCAAAACTGCTAAGATTAAGTTTAAGGGAATATTATTTATTTAATAAACCTCCAGCCAATTTAGTTACTTTTAAATATTGAAAGCTTAAATAAATTAAGCGTATAAATGTTAATATATTTTTCTTGTAAGTTTTTAAAGGTCACCACAAAAAGTCAAATTAATATTAAAAAAAACACACACTCAGAGTAGAATTAAGAAAAGGTCATAATTGCAATTAATTAGATTACCTTCATTTATGGAATAGATTTTTCCTTTTTCAGGTATCCTCATGTTGGGGTCTGTGAGAATAAATTCGCCGATTGAGGGGTCATACATAAACCCATTAACCCCCTTCCCTTGCCCGATGGCTAGTACCATCATGGTGGCAGACCCGTAAAGGGCATAACCTGCTGCCACCAGTTCACGACCAGGTCGTAAAGCGTCTGCTTCTGTGGGCTCGCCATCTGTTGATTTTCTGTAAGACCAAAAAGTTTTTTATTTTTAAAAGTGTACATAATACATTTCTTAAGAGAACTATTTATATTAATCCTTGTAAAAAAATATTTAGTAAAAAGCCAACATCACGCAGTGTTCCCAGGCGGTCACCCATCCAAGTACTGACTGCGCCCGATGTTGCTTAACTTCGGTGATCGGACGAGAACCGGTGTATTCAACATGGTATGGACGTTGGCAACAGTGAACTCCAAATAGTTAATAAGTATAGTTCATAATGTACTATACGTCTTACTTGTAAATAGCAAAGATGGAGCCGACGGAAACTAGACAGTCAATGTTGGATGAACCGTCCAAAGGGTCAAAGCAGACCACGTACTTGCCCCGCCTCTCTGTTTCTACCTGCGATCAAGTAAAGTAACATAATATATATGTATAAGTAAGCTATCTAAATTATAATCATACGGTCTTGGGTTTCACTTAATAACATTTTTGTTTCATTAATCTATTTCAAAGTGCAACTGATATATATACTTTCAAAAACACTCAAAATAAAATCTTTATTATCTCACATAACCTGAGTCGCCGTTGAACTTGCGATTGTGTGATAACTGATCTTAAAAATGCTACTCTATTCGTTATTTTGTGAACAATAGTGACTATTTTTCTGTAAACACATTTCTTGAAATTCAGGGTCAAAGAATAACAACAGTTATTGTTGATATACGACATATGTATAATATACTTTTAATGGCCTTAATATATAGTAATATAGTCACTTAGTATGTACTGTAAATAATGCATAGGTAATTAATATAATAGCATATACCTAATATAGTCTCTAATATAAGGGCATAGATAAACTCACGCAAGATTGTATTTGGGTACAAATGACAATCAATTATTAAAATAACTATCTAATTTTAAATGCATTGTTTAAATCAAATTATCCATCTCTGAACTTGTTTCTATGTATTATTTCATATTTCATAATACTATAGCACAAATATTTGAGGACTTGAGTGAGAAAATACCTCTATGACCGTGGAGTTCTCCTCAGATACAAGAAGACACGTCGTAAAAGACGACTTTAACATGTTGATGAAGAGGTCATTGGACAGGACATCGAGTTTCTTCACCTCTTCACCTTGGACGTTGGTGTTGCCAGATATTCCATGTCTGCAAATGAGAGAAGTTCTTGAAAGGAAAACATCATTGATGCTTTACTTTAATTAATGAACCTTACTATACTTTCATAATGAGAAATATAAACACATACATATTATATTAAGGTTGGTTACGTAAGCAATATACATAAAAAACTTGCGTTGATAAAATACAATAATAATATATGAATATCAATAACAGTCCGCATCGAGCCACGCCTCCAGTGCGGGTCCAAAGTCCATGTTTTTGTGCTCTAAAGATTTAATCAAGGAAAAAATATTAAAAATGTAGACACATTATTGACAATGCTTGGAATAGTATTAGATTGTATTTATGCATATATTGATGGGTACTAAGTGGGTAGTTATTTTACTTAGGTACTTCGTGTTATTAGAAATCAGATTTAGTAGTTAAACCAGTTATGAAAGAAATTTCCGATTAAGTGCGTTACATAGCGTTGCATGAGTAGGTGTAGGCCATTGTAGAAGTGTATGTTATGTAAAATAACATTAATTTAAAAAGTCCGAATAGTTTACTTATCTATTAAATGTGCTCGCATACATAATTTGCTATTGATCGGTCAGCGAGTACCTATTATTTTACTCGTAGTTCAGTATTACGCGGTTCAAAAGCAATGGTAATAAAAAAGTTATTAAAGCCATTTTGCAGGGTACGGTTGCGTTAAAAACAGTGTAAACTTATGATTTCAACTTACACTTAGACAACAGATTTTATTTATATAGGTAAAATTGGAAACATTTACATTATAACATTTACATTTTTTGCGATAATGTTAGTACTAACAGTTTAGCGATGCCGGCCTTCCTGACAGCTGACTGTATGGCCTTGACAGCAGTCTGTATGGAGTTTAGAAGTTGGGTCAAATCTCCAGTAGCCCCCGGCGCGGTTCTTTGCTGAGCTAAGACCCATCGGGTCAAAGTCATAGCATTTACATCGAACGCGGGCCCCTGTTGCGACATTTTGAAATAAGAAGGCGGCAAACGCGGACCGCTGTCAACACAAGACTGTTTAATTATCGCACTGTAGATACCTACTGAATGAAGATAATGGATAAGCAGAAACTGCTGGAGGTTATCGTATTATCACATTCTAATTTTATTAAAATAAACTTCGAATTATTATTTAATTGTGATTTGTGATGTAACGAGTTTATTAAATGGTTTGTGCGATCATTGTTTCGTTTTTGAAAAAGTACCTTGCTGCGAAGAGTTAAAGGTTAAATTGTAGTGACTTATAATTGGAGGTGTGTCCAGTTTCGGTAAGACATGACGCAATTTTGTTTTTCTCTTGCAAAACGAGTTTCTACTTTTAATAGATGATAATTATTTTATAGCTAAAGTTTGCTTGGTTGTCTGATATCCATAATAGAATAATCAATAGGAATATTTTATAGTTATTTAAAAAATGATAGTTCGTCTCAGACAGTCCAGCAATAAAGATTAATGGCCGTCTAACTTTTTTCTTATTTAAAAACAATCAATAAAACATTCCTTTTTTTAACCGTCCCTCATTTCACCAAATTTTTGCAAGAACAAACAGAACCACCCGACAACCACTTCAACAAAATGGTTAGAGTATTTTTTATTTCATATATTCTGTGCGTATTTTATTAAATGGCATTGAATTGTCATTATTGACAATTGACTCTGTTACAACTGTCAATTGCTTTAATGTCTCTAATTTTGTCTGTGAAGGTCTGTGAACAACAAAGTCAGAACTCGAAAGTCAAAACCAGTCTAAGTCAAAGCTTTGTGCGTTTTGTAAATTGTTGATTTTAACTATACAATACAACATAATATTATGCCAGCTTAAATTTTATCACATTGCTTTTATTCGGCAATTTTAAATTAACATTAATTTTAAGGCTATTAACTTCTTCACATAGGGTTTTAATGTTAAAAATTGTCTCTTAAGTTTTAAGTATGGCTCCAAAATTAAAGTTTACAGAAGGTAATTCACAAAAGAAAACTTTATTTTTAATCATACACGAATGTTATTTTATGTAATAACTTTTGGTTTACAGGTGAAAAAGTGTTATGCTTTCACGGACCACTGATTTACGAAGCAAAATGTCTAAAGAGCTCTGTAACTAAAGATAAACATGTTCGATATCTAATACATTACGCCGGATGGAATAAAAAGTATGTATGTTTGTGCGTAGAATTGTTTTTAGTATAATTAGTTACTTAACATGTGAAAGAATGGTGTTTTATTAAATTTATACATTGTTCGGTTACTGCAACCTATTAGCTTCTTACTACACACACATAATTTATGGTTGCCAATTTTGAATTATAGGTTATTCCTTCTAAGCTGTAACAATGTCTACAGTAATTATTTATACTTTGTTTATTATGCAGAAACAAATTAAATAAGGGCTAATGTTTGAAATTGTTTTATCAACATTTGTAATGATGCCTTGAGTCTGATTCAATATTCTTCATATTGTATATATCATTCAGTAAGTCCATAATATAAAATTAAAAAAAAATGTCTTGTTTTCAGTTGGGATGAATGGGTACCGGAAAGTCGAGTACTAAAATACAATGAAGCTAATGTCCAGAGACAGAAGGAAGTGCAAAGAGCACACTCTGCTCAGCCAGCCAAAACTAAAAAAAGTAAAAGTTTTGGTTATTTTAAGTAATGTCATTAGATTAGTTGTGTAAGGAGCACTGATTAACAATGCGATAACTGAAAATTTAGACTATCTATGCCATATATGTAAAAAACAACAAGTACAAAGTCAACTTTTTATTGAAGGGATTTCTTATTATTGTGATTTAAGTTTTGGTAACAACATAAAATTGTTTTATTTGACAGCACCAGCTAAGGGACGAAAATCTGAACCTGCCAATACAACGCCAGCCCGTGAAGAATCTAGAGCTTCAACACCTGCTGGTATGTCTGCTACTTCTCTGGCTAGGTTATAAATGCGATGAATGAAATGATGCTAGAATTATGTTTTGCATGTTTTGGGGTGGATTTTCTTCTGTAGAGTACCAACTGTAGGCTACACGATCAGTCCATGTAGTGTGGACCAAAAAGGGCTCATGTCTGTCTTTGTTTAGAATTTTTAACGATTCTTCCTGTTATTTAAATTTCAGGCAAAGATGTAGAAACAATTTCGACATCATCAAAGAAGAATCAAAATAAAGATCCACCAGCGGATTCTGGATCAGATCAACCAAAGTTAGTATGGTATTTTTTAAACTAGCAAATGTTACCTAAATTACAAAGCTTAGTAATATTATTATTAATAATAATAAGCTTAGTAATAGATGTGAGAAAATAACCAAAATGGGGGGTTTTGTTAACTATAAAAAAACAACTTAAAAGTGGGGCAAAGTCTAATAAACAAGCTCTTCACATGTTTGTGTCATACACAGGGTCCCACTTCTATTGATCATATGGATTACTTACATACTTATTCTTAGGTAATTGGATGTGACAAAATTAGTTGCCAAGCTTTTTTAAACAATGTTTGATAAATAAACAGACATTTTAACACAGACAAGGAACACTATGGATGCCCGTTTAAGTCCTGCCCTTATTGTAAAACATTCTAATTTTATAATATAGTTAATGATTTTCAAAACAGTAACCAAGAGAGAGATTATTAAATAGCATATATATATTTTAATATTACAGAAAGAAGCGAGGTAGACTGGACCTATCAATAGAAACAGAGGAGCAGTACCTAGCAAAGGTAGAAGTAAAAATCAAGATACCGGAAGAATTGAAAGTATGGCTCGTAGACGACTGGGACGTTATAACTAGACAACAGAAGCTGGCTATCCTACCTGCAAAATTGACAGTATCACAAATAGTTGACAACTACTTAGCATTTAAGAAATCGAGCAAACTACACAACCAAGCAAAAGAATCTGTTCTGGTAGATATAACAGAGGGTATCAAGGAGTATTTTAATGCTACACTTGGTTCACAACTGCTATATAAATTTGAGAGGCCTCAGTACAGTGAAATTTTACAAGAGTACCCGGATACACCTATGTCACAAATATATGGTTCTATACATTTGTTGAGGTTGTTCGCTAAGATGGGACCGATGCTCGCTTATACAGCGTTAGATGAGAAATCCTTGCAACATGTTCTAACTCACATCCAAGATTTCCTCAAATACATGGTGAACAACCGCTCAACACTCTTCAATTTGCAAGATTATGGAAACGCGACGCCCGAATATCACAGGAAAATTCAATAGGTTAAGGACAATTCAATGACATTTAATTATTTCCGTTTATGATGATTATGTATATGATATTAAAGTTGAGAAAATTTATTGCTTGTTTTTGTATCTTCACTGCGGCCTGTTCTGTAGATCCATTTTTAATTATATAGTTTATTCCAGTAACATGTATAAATTATCACAGCCTCTGTTGACCGAACCAGACAAAAGAGTTAGTAGTAATAGCTACTGTAAATTAAATTGGTATAATTTATTTACTATGTACTGTACGACGAAATAAACAAGTTATGAAATATTTTACATGAAACAAAGTAAATTAAATAGCCTGTCGATACTGAACGGTCACTCATCGAATTATCACGTATTTCATGATAAAATACATAATTATTTAATTGCCCAATGTAAATATGTAGTGTCCATATCTGCAACTAGAGGTCGCTAGCAACTTGACCGCGTTTCAATGCGTGTGAGTCACGCTCAAGAAAAAACTCGGAATATTTGATTACCGGTGGCGTGGCGCGATTCTTAAATAATTTTATCGGCAGAGGTCGTAGAGACCTGTTTGCAGCGATAAAAGGTTATCTGGAATCGCGGTAATATCTTACCGTTTCAGAACGATCGTAAATATAAAGGGAAGGCTGGTTTTGTAAGATTCAGCAAAAATGGAAAGAATAAAATCACATACACGAGATATTCTCATTATTTCACTAATTAATTTAATTGCGAAGACAAAAAGCACAAACGTAAGGCCACGTTTAATAATGTAATTTTAAAAATAATTATACCACTTGCATATATTGCAATCAATGCATGCGTGTAAAAGTTTGGAAGTTTTAAACAATTCAGTAGGCAGTATTGCCGTTCGTTATAATTCTGTCCTAACTTTGTATTTTTTGGTATGCAATAAGTGTGTAAAGAGTTATTCTGTACCCAAAATTAGGAATTTAATTATTGTATTAGTAACAGCCGAAATATACACCTCAAAATAAGATCAACAACAATCTTAGCACCATGGACCAAATCTTTTTATGAAATTGAGATATAAATAACAGAATGCGGCATAAACAGCTGGTTATCGAAGAAAACGTGACAAGGTCTTCAGCCATATGGTCCGAGCATAACCATAACTGCAACAAAGATATGCAATAGCCTCCCGAGCCGTTTTTGAGTTTAGACTTAAGTGGAGAGCTAGCTATGTTTCAGCTTAGTTCTCATAACATCTAAGAATTCTAGATGAGCTCGTAGCAATGTAACAATCAATGGGTCGTCGATTCGATCCCCATCGGGTTCAACATTTGTCTAATCGATTTATAATCTTTCTAAAACAGGTTGAATTTCACCTGGAAGTCTGGCTAATAAATGGGTTTTGGTATACCAAAATTGCGCTCGGGTCACGTACCACCGTCTACAGATGAAAAAATCGTGAAGTTTAATCACGTTTTGATTTCAGTCTGTGGATTTCAGAATATCCAAAGCTTTAATAGGTCGATAGCGAATCTTGTTTAGATGTTACGAGTATAGGCAGGGGTATTCCACCTACCATTAAGTGAACAACATGTTTGTCTGTCCTCCTGCATCATTAAAAAAGAGGATAACAATGATAAAAGCCGTTTACTAACCAATTGAAGTATGCAGACACATTTCGGTCATTGTTTTAGTAACGTTCTCATTTTCAGGCTAGGCTATAAGTCTATGTAGCAAGTTTCCTTTCGATACCGTATCTTCTCTTCTTCGAGAATTAACAGATCCTGGAAATTCAGGCGTAGAACTATAAAAATTTGGTACGTTATTAATTCGAATAAGATTTATTCATAGTGATTTATACAGCTATGTTATATAAAATTGTATTCGCGACTGCGTCCGCGTGAAATAGTAGTTATTTTGTGCTTTATGATTATTTTTGCATTTATTATAAATAAATAAATAAACAATAAGTTAATCTTACAAGATAGACATATACTGTCTGACATTTTTTTAGATTGTTCAAATAGGAAGCATTATTTCATACATATTTTTCGGGTATCTTAAACGAGTTACGAAAATCTGCAAAGATGAATAAATTTATCCGTCTTTACACATTTCCTACTGTTCCTTCGCTCCAATTGCTCGTATCCTGATGTTTTATAGCCTTTGGCTATAAAACATCAGGATACGAGCTGACTTTCTCGATAATGTAACAGAAAAGTAATGTTTCAATTCGAACTAGTCGTTCCTGAGATTGGCGCGTCCAAACAAACTCTTCAGCTTTATAATATTAGTATAGATGATTTAAATGCAATTACTCAGTTGCAATTCAATTGGTGATAATGTCGCGAATCAAGCAGCGCCAGTATGTCGCGCCACCGGCCTTGTCTTACCAGACTTACCATTAAAGGCACTATCAAGCCCTCAGTGATAACAATTGTCGCGGAAAACTACAGCTACTTAAGCTAAACTTTGTTTAACAGCTTGCAATACATCAATCTATACTAATATATAAAGCTGAAGAGTTTGTATGTTTGTTTGTTTTAACGCGCTAATCTCAGGAACTACGGGTTCGAATTGAAAATATCTTTGTGTTAGGAATAGGCTAAAATCCCGCTGCGACTCATAGGAGCGGAACAGATTTAAAATATATATGAAAGGATGATTACTCTTTAAAAATGTCAGCATCTTTTAAGATCTATCTACTTGCAAGATCAACGGGACACGACCGAAATCGTGGGTAACACTTAACAGCTATAAAGATGAAAAGAAGGTTTACAAAAACAAATGTTGATGCCCAAAACAACTATTCTACGCGGACGAAGTCGCTGACACAGCTAGTGCTTACTAATTTCCTTGTATACCTAAGTTGTATTAAGAGGTCATCGGTTCGAACCCGGGAAAACAATCGATCAAATTTCTGTGCCTCGATTGGACGACGCACAGAAATTTGATCCATCGGTAAAAGAAATACAGAAATTTATCTGCACGATAAAAAATTCGAAGGGAACATTGTCATTAATATAGCGTTTTCTTACTTTCTTTTGTTTTTAATGGTATTCTTCTTTGGATTTTTATCCCTTTATTGTTCCTTTTGAAACAATTGTTTTTTCATTTGGAAAGTGTACCAAAAAAATGTTGAAGTTTTGAGAGATAGTCTTCGTTAACTTTTATTACGTTGATAAAAACATTCAATCGTGAGAGATGGGCTTGCATAGTCTGTAGTGACGAAAGCGAGTCTATTCTAAGCACGACGAAAATATACAGCTCTGCCATATGGTTAGGATATTGGTTTTATTGGATACGCAACGGCTCCATAATAAATACATTTTCTCATTTGTCTGTATAATATGTTTTTATGGTTAAAAAACCGATACATATCATTTATCAGAATCTGTACTCGTATTTTATGAATGTAGCACAAATTTAAATTTAACAGTTTAAAACGTGAAATAAATTTGTTAACTTACTTACATTTGAAAACTTTAAGCTTTTTCACATGCCATTGCACATGATGGCGCTCTACTGAGCTCTACCTAGTTTTTAAAAAATCGAAAATAAATTGAATTTTTTTTCGACCCGGGCAGGACTTGAACCGGTGTCGTCAGCGTTCCGTGCTGTTGCTCTACCAATTGAGCTACCGAGCCCTATACCTCATCGACGATTTTTTTCTGACGAGGTCGGCTCAAGTCCTACCCGAGTCGCAATTTTATTCAATTTATTTTGTTTTTTTTTTAACTCATTTACAATTTATTTTAACTACCTCCCGTGACCAGGGCTGCTGCAAAGCATCCGCAACATGTAAAAAAATAATTATTATACGTATTTCGTTAATAATAATCGTATTTCAATACATATATGTATCAAAATCGGATCGGATTAAGTTATATTTATTCATATTAAAAATAAAGTTTTGTCTATGTTCATATGTTTAGTAAGGACATACTGTCTATAGTTTACGCGAGTAGCCTACACATTTAAATAAAACACTTAAACGGCTCAAAACGCAGTATATTAGTTCAGCATCCGAAACGGCTGAAGTTTAAAATCATTTTTAATTAATTTTAACTAATATATCGCGTTTTAAACCGTTAAAGTGTTTTATTTTAATAAGTAGGTGTTACCGCTTATCTATCTATGCCTTTACCTTGTATTTATAAGGTCTTCTGAACGGTAGTATTTTGACCATATATGGAATGAAGTGTAACAATGACTCAGGGTCGCTTTCATCTTCATTCCTCAACATGATTCATTTCTTTAAAACTGGTGTTTATGAGTAATTTGTGTATAAGAAAACAGTGTCAAGATTCATCTTATTTGCGGCCTTGTTCATTTATTACGATCTATTGTATTCAAATTATTAATAATTTTTACAAATCAAAGCAAAGCATCCGAAACGTCGGGCCGAAGTTAAAAATAATTTCCAAATAAGTTTAACTAATATATCGCGTTTTAAACCGTTAAAGTGTTTTATTTAAATGTGTACAACTCGCGTAAACTATAGACAGTATTTAATGCAACGCTTATTCAAATTACTCAGTTTGGTATATAAAAATAGACACACATACAATTGCAATGTGTTATAAATTTGTAGTGTAGTATTATGAATTGTAAATTCAATAACTATTTCGACTCTTTGGCCCAGTGATAATTGTTTGCATAGTACAGCGATACATTGTGTCTTGAAATATGTAAAATGTAATTATTTCGTATTATATATTTCGGCAATGTTTGAGATCTGGCTGTGAGACTAAAGTTGGGATTAAGTGACCCTAGTCCACGTCAAGGCAAGCAGATCTTAAGTGTCCCCATCTGGGTCAGATTTACGACCATACGGTCACTGAGTCATATCGGTGCGTATTTTGAAATCTCATTACTCTTATATTGTGGCCTGTCCCGCGGGGAGTTTCTTTATCTAACACAGGTTACATCTTGTTGTATTGCCTATTTGAGTCCCGGCAATATCGTTTATGACCTTAGTTGATATCGGTATTGTAGACCACAAATTAGAGAATGAAGAACAATTTTATGATAAATGTTTAGAAAGCTCT